ATCAGCCTCAAAGATCTCATTAATCACTAGTAAATGTAATTTTAATTTACTTTATTGTTTTCTCATTAAACTTTATAAAGTTAAAAACATTATAAACATGCATTAAGTAGAAAAAAAAGATAAATGTACGTACACCCTCCTTTCGAAAAAATATTCTGCACTTGCGCGAAAACTGGTGGGCGGTAAGGAAATTTTTTTCAACCAAAAAGATGCATTAGTGGGCGGTAGGTAGAAAAAGGTTGACTACCACTGATCTATACCAATAGCAATGAAAGTGGACCAATTAAACGAAACACAGGTGTTGCAGTGTTTGGGTACACTATGGTCTACCATATATACTCGAGTATAAGTCGACCCGAATATAAGTCAAGGCCCCTAATTTTACCCCAAAAAACTGGTAAAACTTATTGACTCGAGTATAAGACTAGGGTGGGAAATGCAGCAGCTACTGGTAAATTTCTAAATAAAATTAGATACCAAAAAAATTATATTAATTGAATATTTATTTACAGTGTGTGTATATAATGAATGCAGAGTGTGTGTGTGTATATAATGAATGCAGTGTGTGTGTATATAATGCAGTGTGTGTGTATGAATGCAGTGTGTGTATATGATGCAGAGTGTGTAACCTTGGTGAGGGGTGGGCATTTTTATTATTTATTTTTTTATTATTATTTTAATATTTATTTTTAAAAATATTTTTTTAATATTATTAAATTTTTATTTTATTATAATATTATTAACATTTTTATTTTATTTTTTGTCCCCCCTCCCTGCTTGATACATGGCCAGGGAGGGGGGCTATATGATTCCCTGGTGGTCCAGTGGATGGGCTGTGCAGGAGGGGGGCTGAGAGCAAGCTGTTACTTACCTTTACAGCAGCTCCTGTCCGCTCCCTTCTCCTCCGTGCCGTTCAGCTCCAGTGTAAATCTTGCGGTCTGCGTGCCTCACGGAGCATTGCCACGGTAATCCGTGGCAACGCTCTGACAGCCGCGGTTCTCGAGAGGCTTACACTGCAGCTGAACGGCACGGAGGAGAAGGGAGCTGACAGGAGCTGCTGTAAAGGTAAGTAACAGCTTGCTCCCAGCCCCCAACAGGATCGCCGGGCTTGTAATGAGCCCGGCGGTCCTCGTCTTTATTATGGCAATGTAAGTTGCCATAATACAGACACTTACTCGAGTATAAGACGAGTGGGGCTTTTTCAGCACAAAAAATGTGCCGAAAAACTCGTCTTATACTCGAGTATATACGGTAATTTTTTGGTTTTTATGTTGTTAAAGTGTTCCTGGAGTCTGATGTGGAGTTTTCAGGTGGTTCTTCCCAAGTATTGGGAACAAGTTCCACATTTGTGAAAACCAGGGGACCAGTTTTTTTTTTATTTGTGTAGGTAAGAGACTCGGTGCTAGTTGGTTTTATAAATTATCAGCTTTTTTATAAATAACCACAGGCCTCTCAGGTATAACCTTCCCTAAAATGTCATCTTTTTTTTTTTTAAACTGCCCAATGTTTGTTAAGAATTTTCTCTATTTTCTTGGCATGTATGCTATATTAAGTTATAAATGCAAATTCAACATTAGTTTTCTTACTCAGATTCTTATAATGATTGTCAACCAGAAATTCTGAATGATCTTTCTCTTTCATTTGTATAATCTCTTTTTCTATTTTTTCTTGGTTATAACCTTTTTCCAGATATCTATTTTTAGTTATCAAGGATTGTTCCTCAAAAACATGAATGTTTGAGCAATTTCTCCTAATGCGGGTCATTTGTCATTATTGAGCCATGTAGGATAATGGAGGCTAGTTTTTTTAATTGCTGTGTTACAATCAGTTTTTTTTGAAAAAAGATCTTTGTGTTTAAAGTACCTTTCTCCTCATACAGGGTTAAGTCTAGGAAATCTATAGTTTACGGATGTATAGTGGAGGTAAATTTAAGATTATATTGGTTTAAATTAATAGTTCCAATAAAGGTCTCAAAGCAGTATCTCCTTCCCAAATAATAAGAATGTCATCTATGTAGCGTCGCCAGAGGACGAGATTCCCCCCAGGGTATGGTCCCAATTAGATGCACAAGGCCTCCCAATGGGACACATACAAGTTGGCAAAACTGGGGGCGAACCTCGTCCCCATGGCGACACCACATAGCTATAGAAAAAAAGTCGAGTCAAACCAAAAGAAATTCTTGGTCAAAACAAATTGAATACATGATACAAAAAATTATTCTGTATGGGGCATAAAGTCTGATGTTGGACAAACACGTCTCTGATGAGCTCCAATCCTTTTAAGTGGGGTATATTGGAGTACAGGGAGGTGACGTCCACCGTGGCTAGTATGTAAGAAGGTTTCCAAATAAAAGACTGTAAAGTTTGAAGAATGTGTTTGGTGTCCCTAATGTAGGATGGACTTAAGGGCACATATGGTTTCAAAAAGAAATCTTATCAAGGTCTGACTGTACCAAATCATTAAAAACCTCCAAATATTTGCCTCTTTCAAAGGTGGGATAGAACTTCGATTTATTTTTCAGAGTCGAGTGAATAATGGGTATATTAACTGGAGTGGGATTAGAATGTTCTGAATTTCCTATAGTTACATGTTCTGAAATTATTGGATTATCACTATAATCATAGTGATAATCCAATAATTTCAGAACATGTAACTGTAGCAGATTCAGAACATTCTAATCCGACTCCAGAAAATAGCATGTAATTCCGGACTTTTTATGATTTATTGGTTCGGTAGCTGTAACTACCGAACATCGACCACCCTCCTGGCTCATTATCTTCAAAGGAAAACCGTCAATTAAGCGCTCTCCCTGTTTGGCCGCCATTCGCATAGTTGAACGCCACGTGCGAGAGAAAACGGTGGCCATCTTGTTTGACGAAAAGGATGCAGCGGGACTTGGTTGTCGAGTGTCTGGAACTAAAATCGGACGCTCGACTTCCCGAACACCAGTTAAAGTATACGAACGCCTGTTTCCTTTTACCGAACAGCTAGGAGAGCGCTGTTCGGTAGTTTGGTTCCCACAAACAAGGGGAACAATCACTACTATGAGCCAGGGGGATCCATTCGTGTATTCTTTTGTTTTGTGACTTTTCCGAAATAGACCAACTGCACAGCCTAAACTCATGGAACTATTTCTGGGCAGAAGCCTTGTTTGCGGTCTGTAAAATTGGACTTCCATGAAATTTGAAAACCCCTGAACTGATCTGGGTGATTTTTGGATATGTTGGTCACCCAGATCAGGGCTATCAGGGAATATGACATTTATGGGAATGAGATGTGTTTTAGGGTACTTTCTAAGTTTTAGGGGAAAATATGTTTTTACTGCCTGGAGATAATTGAGTTATTAATCTAGCTGACTCCATTATCTCACAGGCAGAGGGGAGGGAATTATCTGTTTGTATTGGTGTCACACTTTGTCACTGTATTGTCATTGGTTGTAAACTTTGTGTCCCTGTCCCCCACAAGGTCCATGTGGGAGTGCCCCTTGCATGGGGACTTGCATAAAAGCCAGTGTGGCACCATTAAACTTCATTCCTGTTGTACCCTTCATGAAGTCTAGGCTCATGTTTGAGTAACTGTCTACTTGCTGAGGAGAAACTACTTGGAGGCTGCATTCGTCTGAAACTATTTGTATCTACACCCGAACTGCAGCTATAATCACTCAGGCTCAGCAGTTCAGGAGGAATAGGCAAACAGGGTATCTACTATACCAGTGTTCATAACATATCTCTCTGAATGTCAGGTGGTAGGTCACTGTACTAGGGGATTATGGGAAAGATCATGGCTTAAGTTTACATGATGTCCTCGTTTTCAGAAGGAAGCTCTGATGTGACACTGTGTAATTAAATTAATAATGATATTCCATAATTTGGATTAATAATGTCAATTTTATTTACAAACACATTTTAAGAAGGTGTCCTGTCCTCTCTGGAGGTCTATTTACTAGCCTGAAGAGTCTGGATACAGGATATGAAACAAGGCATGTCGGCACTGATGGTGTCTAAGTATATTTTATCACGCTACATTATTTAACCCAAGGATCTAAATCTCACAGCCACCGTAACCACAAGTAATTTTCACAGCCACGTGGCAGACTGTCCAGAGGGAAATAAATGTATACAAATTTGTGTATCCTAACTATGTTACTCTTGATCCTACCTTTTACCCAGCATTTGCAAAAGATATCATCCAATTTCCAAAATACCCCTTTCTTTGACTGCTGTCCCCAACTAGCTGTCGGCCCACCTTTTACCAGTTTGATTCAGTGTACCTAAAAGTTGGCAAAGCATCATGGGATATAAATCCAAGGATGCAGCTTATGATTAAAGGGCCACCATAGCAAGCTATGTCCATTGTAAACATTATAATGCAAGGCATCACTCCCGGTTTATGAAGAAAGATCATATGTCGTAGACCATAAAGAAAGGCTCAAGGTTGGTGGATCCTGCTGTAGTTTGCCTATATCAATACCGCTGCTAAGAGAACTTTAATGGTGAATATAATTTCCATCTTATACTTAGTGCATTATTTATATCGGTATAGGCAACTATTTAGTAGTACTGTGCCAAAACAAAATCTTGAAGTCCTTTGGCTTGCTGGTCCTAATTCTTGAAATTGAGGTGTGTATGGTACCGTATTGTGCCTGTGTTATTTATGGGTACTGCAGTTGCTTTGTAACATTGCGTTTGTGTGTATGTGGGCTGTTATAACGTATGTGTTTATGAATAGTTTGTGGTATTGTGTATGATAGCTTTGAATGTTGGCTGTTTATGGGGCCTGCTTCTGGAATTGTGTGGACGATTTGTTATTTTGTGTGTTTTTGTGTGTATGTGTGGGGCTGCTTGTTGTGTTGCATGTGAGAGGCTGCTTGTGGGGTTGTGTGCATGTATGTGGATTGTCAGTGATGTGTTTCTGGGGACTGTGTGTTTGTGTGTGGACTGTTTGTATTATTTGTATGAGGGAGAGGCTTCTTCGGCAGCTCTGTGGATATCTAGCAGTGTGGGTGCCTTCCCTGGGGTCCAGTGGGAACCAGGCTGGCCAGGTACAGGTCAAGGGCAGGAGCTGCGATAGCTGCTGCTGGCTGCTCTGCTCCAATGCAGATTCCTAATCACAAGTCGTGGGAGGAACTGATCTGAGATCACTTTCTCTCTAAGTGCTGCAATGTGTAAATTGAGGATTGTCCCTCACCATCTGCAATCACTGCTCAGGTTTGCACTAGTTGCCATAGCCTGTTTGCCCCTTGCAAAGGAACCTCAAGTACCATGGATGGCACACGTACCATAGGTTGCTAACCCCTGATCTATATACTTCCTTATAAATGTCGGATCAGCGTTAGCATGGATTATTGATGTGCTAAATGCAACTGAAGAAAGGTTTTGTGGCTGTTGCCTTGGCCTGTGTAATGCTATATAAATTCAGAAAATTAAAGATAAAAATATAGAAAGGACACACTGGATGCCATACCGGAGGGTGATTACCCTGATGTCCACCTACTGGTTGAGACCCAAGCGGCACCAGCCACCAAAGGCAACATCATGGACCTAGTGGTCAACATACATACTTTTATCTGGGTCAACATGACAGTGTGCAGGAGGAGCTGACAGCCATTCCTAACAGAGTGAAGGCAGCGGAGGAAAATGTGTCCTCTCTCGCAGCGCCATGTGGATGCAGCCGAACAGATCCGACATCTACAAGCCTTATACAAGGCCATGCAGACTCAGTTGGATGCTATGGACAATGCGATTCAGTGCAACAATCTCAATATAAGAGGCATTTCAGAATCCATCATCGCCACACTTCCTGAGATGTCTCCTCTCAGCTATCCTGCCTCTCTGACAGACTAAGAATATGTTGGTTGACAGCACTTACAGGCTCACAAAGTCCACCAGGGTTTAATACTTATTTTTCCTCTCCTCCTCCATGATACCTACCTTACCCACTGTGACCTACATGTCCCTATACCATTTAAGCGGTGTTATCTGAATTTATTCAGCCCCTATTTTTATATATATATATATAGGCTACAGTACCTTGCACACAGGCTGCAGATTTCCTTGGCCGGGTGCACTACCAGGGCTCCAGTATACAGACTTGCAAAAGTAGATGGCTGTACTCACGGTCTTTAAATAAGTCCTGGAGAGGACTGAAACGTTAATCCTGTTTTTAAGATGATTCAATAAAAGCTAATTTTTATTTAAAGACCGTGAGTGCAGCCATCTACTTTTGCAAGTATATATATATATATATATATATATATATATATATATATATAAATTTGTTCCAGTTATTCTCGGCTTACCAAATTACCAAAGCAATGTTTTGCCTTATCTAAATGTTTTTTTTAAATCTGGTGTCTGTCATGCTTTTATGTACAATATGCAATGTGACATCCTGTACCAAGATTCAAGTAAAGAATTAAAATAAATAAATGATATACATATATATCGAAAACCGGGAAATAAAAGCTTGCACATTGGAAAAAGCCCCAACTATTTGTATTTCAGCAAACTGCTCTGAATATAAGTAGGCTTTCTGGAAGTCCTGATATACAGTTATTCTTTATTTCCGGTAAAAAATAATGTGTTCAGATACATTTATTTTTAACCACATTGTGACCAGCACACAAAAACTTCACAGAAGCTGTTATTTAATATGTTTACCAAACATCTTGTTGAAAATTATGTATTTTTATGATCGCCTGTAGGTGAGAGAACACCAATCATTTAAATAATGTTTCAAATGATTGATGTTGAGAGTTGACTACAACTCTCAGTGCCCTGCCCTGTAAATACTAGTCTTCATTAGGGTAGGGAGAGCTGCAATGGTATGTATTAGACACCCTTATTTCTCCAGGACTTTAGGGCTATTACATTACCTTCTTTTGATGCACCAAGCATTGAAACCCAAGTATCTTCTGTCATAATAGCATCATACACTGCTTGAAATGATTCAAGATCATTTGCATCACTTGCCATGGTGTGCCTTGACAGCCTTTCATATAATTATATTTATTTATTTTCTTGTTTTCTATCCCATCCCTTGTGCGGAACTCGGGTTGTACCCATAAGTGATGCTGCCATATTTAGCCAGGAAAGCAGAAAATGTATTAAATACTTACCATAATTTTCTTTTCCGGGTTATGTTACATGGCAACATCACGCTCCATCCCTTCTGGGTTAAAGGGACTCTCCAGTGCCAGGAAAACAATCCGTTTTCCTAGCACTGCAGGTCCCCTCGCCCTCCCACCTCCCATCCCCGGTTGCTGAAGGGGTGAAAACCCCTTCGGTGACTTACCAGAGGCAGCGACATATCCCTCGTTGCTGCTTCTTCCTCCGCCCATGCTCCTCCTCTTCATCATGTCAGCCGGCGGGGGAAACCTAATGCGCATGCGCGCCAATGCTTTAGACCTCCCCATAGGAAAACTTTTCAATGCTTTCCTATGGGGATTATAGCGACGCTGGAGGTCCTCACATAACGTGAGGACGTCCAGCGACGCTATAGCACAGATAATTTGTGCTATAATCCAGGAAGTAGTAGACAGCCATTAGAGGAGGAGTTAAACCTGCAAGGTTATTATTGCAGTTTATAAAAACTGCAATAATTACACCTGCTGGGTTAAGGATAGTGGGAGTTGGTACCCAGACCACTCCAATGGGCAGAAGTGGTCTGGGTACCTGGAGTGTCCCTTTAATTTTTATACAGCTTGCAAACAGACTGGGGATCACAGAGAGGAGGGACATTGTATCAGTTGCTAATTGTTTATTCCTACAATATCCACAAGAGGCTGCATTTTGGCATTTAAATGTTTAATTTGTTGGTTTTATATCAGTGATCCAAGAGGAAGTTCTGAGCTTCGGAATAAAACACGTAGAACCGTTTTTAAAATGATTTATTATATTGATACATATTTTATTTATATTTTATACTAATTGACAAAATAAAATCGGCTTCCTGATTGTGGTTCCTACTGTATCCTGGTTCCAGCAGAATGATGTCTATAAAAGGAGATGAGGTACTTGACCCCCAACACAATTGGGGAGGCACCCTTAAGGCGACATTAATTCTATATCATTTTGAGTGTTACCAGTATGAGTGTCATTAAGTATTACACTACGTATCATTCATTTTCTTACTTTAGAAGTAACAGCTGTATCTAATATTGTTTGGTGTATATCAAATGTTTATTCCTCTCTACGGAAGCTAAGGAAGGAGCTACCCAAAAGTGATGCTGCTATGTGAAAAGAAAATTAAATACATTTTTTTTTTTTAAACATTCAGCAAGCTATTTGGTTTGTGAAATAACATGAGATAACAGTTCCTCTTTAAAATGACCCCCTCTGAGAATTTAGTGACATAATTTTCAGAAATGTCGTACATATTGAGAGATTTATTCACTAAATACATACTGTAGCACATTAAAATTACAATTCAGGCTAATTGAGTCGTGCAGAAAAAATATACATTTCCCTTATTACATATAAACTGCTTTTAGCGCACAAAGTCCAAGAATAGACAGTCCAGATCTCAATCACCCTTTTTTTTTATTTTAATTTTTTTTTTCCAGCACTGCAGGGGTTAAACTTCAATCTTGAAAATTCTCCAAAAATTCCTGGTTTATCAAATATAAACCAGGAATTTTTGGAGAATTTTCAAGATTCAAGTTTATCCCCTGCAGTGCTGAAAAAGAAAAAAAAAAAGGGCGATTGAGATCTGGACTGTCTATTCTTGGACTTTGTGCGCTAAAAGCAGTTTATATGTAATAAGGGAAATGTATATTTCTTCTGCATGATTATAAGCTCTTTGAAAGTTGCATTACCGTGGTGAAGGAGTCATATACATTATTTTCTACTTTTATTCTCTAATTTGAGAGTGTTTTAAAATTGTGCGCTAACTCATATTATCAATATACTGAGTAATATTGTGTGTTAAAGGACCACTATAGGCACCCAGACCACTTCAGCTTAATGAGGTGGTCTGGGTGCCAGGTCCAGCCCTTTTTTCTATAAACATAGCAGTTTCAGAGAAACTGCTATATTTATAAATGGGTTAATCCAGCCTCTAGTGGCTGTCTCATTGACAGTCGCTAGAGGCGCTTCCACACTTCTCACTGTGAAAATCACAGTGAGAAGACGCCAGCATCCATAGGAATACATTGTGAATGCTTTCCTATGAGACTGGCTGAATGCGCGCGGTTCTTGCCGCGCATGCGCATTCAGCCGAGGAGGAGAGTCCCACGACCGGCGCTGGAGAAAGAAGTAAGTTTAACCCCTTACACCCCCTAGAGCCTGGCGGGAGGGGGACCCTGAGGGTGGGGGAACTCTCAGGGCACTATAGTGCCAGGAAAACGAGTATGTTTTCCTGGCACTATAGTGGTCGTTTAAACATAGGGGAAACTAGAGGACAGCAGCACACAACATATATAATGTTAAAGGTATAACATCTTAAGATATATTTTAAAGAGAAAGCACCTCAGATCAGTATCTAATTGAGTCGTAACTGTTTGTGGCCTAAATTTGCAGTTCTGTTTTGAATTCACAATTTGGTGTTAAGCGAACTTTTAACCAATAAAAACACACACAAAAAAGCAAAACATTGTAAGAAATCTCCATATTTTATTTATATTTAATGAAATAAACAGAAATAAATATGCAAGCCAAATTTCCCATAGGGAAAAATTAATATACAGCCTAAGAACTAGCATTCTGTGCTAATAAAAACAGTGCTTCAAGTTAATTGTTAACTCACAGTGACTATCAGAGGAACATGTCAGTCTAGGAACATCACTCCCAAACACTAGAATCCACAAACGCTATAACACTTCCCAGCACTGATGTCCACGGGGGTTTATTAGTGACTGAAATCTAAATTGTAAAGCGTAGGCTGAAATATCTAATTAGGAAATATCCCCCAATTCAGCTTTGATAACAGCTCAATTTTAGCCTACATTTTACATTTCAATTTTAAATTCAGTGTACAATTCAGTAAATAAACCACTTTGTAGTAATGTGAATTAAATTTATTATCACTCCAGTGTCATATACTTGTCATAGACCTATATCTGCTATATTACTATCTTCACAACTAGGCATTGATTCCTAAAAATATTCCTAACTGTAACCCCTTCCGTGAATACACAGGCTATATTTTGCTTTGCATAGCAAAGTCATTTTTTTTTTTTTTATCTCTTACAAACTCACCGCTTAGTAAACATGTGCGAAAATGTGTTTTAAGCAATTCACCCAGATAAAATTCCTGGAAATCTTTGAAAGAATTTATTGGAAATCATTTAACATGTATTCATTTGATTAGTTCCAGTCGTTCCGGTAACAGGAATCTTATTCGGATGAATCGCTTTAAGCAAATTTTTTAATATGTCTACTGCATAGTGAATAAGCTCTTTAAATTTTACTTATTACAACATTAAGGCATTGAAAGCTCTGGTAGCATGGCCAATGCCTTTATACATGTGGCTTTAGGTATTTACAGAGCCAAATACTTTATACACTGTAAATAAAAAAATATTCACATTTTTTTTTTCATATTAATATAGTACAGCTCTTCCTTTCATGATCTGATTGATAGGTGGGATTAGAGACTAATAGGAAGCTGATCCTAAACCAGTCTTTGGAGACACCAGTTTGTGTATTCAAAAGCGCAATTCATTTCTGTGTGGTTATCAACATTTTGCAAATGAATAAAAGCTAATCAGCCCTAGAAGGACCTTTCGGTGTGCTTATAAAAGAGACTTAAGCCAATCCATCATCAATATGTGAAACAGTTTGGCATTAAATAGGGGTAAGACTTGACTCTCCTCATGTATCACATATCGTATGATCAGTTTACTGGGTGCCACCAAAGGCTTTTGGAGAAGTAGAGTATTTGAAACGGTATCTTTTTAAATAGCTGAAGAAGTAAGTTTGAAGCTTAGGAAAGACGATAAAAGTGAGAATTGAATGTTGCAGGTCAAGGCAGTTTTTGATGTAAATGAAGGACAGGGTCTCTCAAGTAGCGAATAGGTAAAGGGCCATACCATGTAGGAATGTAGGGGGGTTCTTATGAGAGGAGTACATAAGGGTTAGTGATTGTGAGAATTGCTTTTTTCCAACTCTTTATTTAGAAAGTTTGGGATTTTAGTAATCCAGTCAATAGCGTAATAGTATTGTGTGACCAAATTATAATAAAAAATGTTGGGCACACAACAAAATACTTTAAATGTTTGCCCTCCGTTTCAAGTTCACAAAGACAAAAATCACAGTCTGACCAATTACTCTACTTATTTTTTTAGTAAGATATGCACCCTATTGTATTCCATCATCCTTGCTTACTGATGTGTTTATCTCTGTCTGACTGTGGAACAAATAAATCATTTTTTGAAAAAAATGTTGGGCTGGTAGAAGACTTAAATGTGGACTACGAGTCAGGACATGACAATTCTAAATACCCAGGAATTTAATATAATATAGCTGCCATGTGAGATTAAAGGTGGGGGAGTTGGGTGGGCTTTATGAAGGGGCAAAAAATAAGTCTGGTGCCTGGAATGTTCATTTAGAGCTTTAATTAAACTACAAGTCCCATCAGCCTAGGAAAAACTGTTGCATAGTGAGCATGATAGGGGGTGCAGTTCTACAACCAATGGAAAGATAATATTGCATTTTCTGCATTAAACATAAATGGGGTTTATATTTTCAGTGTAGAATTGCTGTAGATAAGGAAGTACTATAATTAACTCTCTATTAAACCATGCTTAACTGGGCATCATTTTTACATTTTGCTATCATGCTACAAAACAAGGGGCACATATTATTAAATAGAGCTTCAATATAGATGGCAGCTTTTAAAATTACTTCAACTGATTGCAATTTCTTTTCAGTTTTAATTAATTCCTATGGCAACTCACTACAGTATTTATTGTTTACTGAATAAACACTTTCATTATTTATTCACGGAATTAAAAATCGTGGATGATTGCCAAGGTAACGGCAAAATTTTAAGTAAAATAAACAGAATTGAAAAAAATCCTCCAAATCAACTATTTTGATTTCATTTTGATCATCAAATGTGGCCTAAAATGTCCTACGTCAATTCTCCCCAATTCTCAGTATTATTGAATAAGCCCCTTGCTAAGCAACATTGAAATGTTAAAAAAAAAAAAAACATGCATCTTTGTCATGATAAAGCCTCTTGTCTGAAATGACAGTGTGAAGGTAAATATTTTAGATTAAATTGCATACGCTGGTAAAGGGCTTCAAAGCTAATAATTCTTTAGCAATCAATCTAACAGCTTGCAATATACAATGCTGTGATATCTCAAGTGCACATACTGAGAAAATAGCTAACCTAAAATTCTATATCACATTCCTTTTTAAGTAATACTTTGTTGCCGTAAATCTGTAGTTCAATGCTGTCATGCACATCTTGCCTCGACAGTCGTCTCTTAAATTCGTCTGTTGTAAAGTAATAGATTACCGGATCCAGGCAGGAGTTCATGCTAGCCAAACATATGGCAACAGAGTGAAATGTCTTAATAGTTTTCCGTTGGGAGCATGACTCTATTTTATTTGCCTTTACCAAAAAATCCAAAGGAAAACTTAGATGATAAGGAGCAAAACAAACCAAAAAAACAACAGCACAAGTTAGAATCATCTTCAGCGCCTTCCTCTTCTCCCCAAGGTCATGACATGTGTGATCCGGTTCTTTCAATGACAATATCGTCCTCCACGAGCAATAGAGAACAATAGTGAGAGGGGTCACAAATCCAAAAAGTTCAGCAAACGTCACAGCCATGATGGAATTTGGAAGCCCAATGTCCACAAGTGGCAAATCCACAAAACATTTGTCAGTATTAGTAGTATTGTTACTAATTCGTAAAAGTGGGAATGGCAGACAGCTCACGCAAACTACGATCCATCCGGCGAAGCTTACATACACGTCGAACATTCGCTTCCTATCGGTAAACCTAAACGGATAAATTAAATACAAGAACCTTCTGACGCTAATACAGACGAGAAAAAAAATACTAGCATACATATTCACATATTTCAGGTAAAAGCAGAACATGCATAGGAAATTGGGAAAAGGCCACCAGTTGCTTAGATAATAGAATATTCGGAGAGGCAGCGAGAGAACTTGCAGTAAGTCTGCAATGGCGAGATTTATCATAAAAATAACGGCTCGTTTTGTTTCCCTCATATAAGCATAAAATACCCAGAGAGCTAAAACGTTTCCAATTAACCCAGGGACTAAAATTATAGTGTACGTGATTGCATACAGTTGACTTATAGATGTGTGGTTCATGTCAAGTTCACATGTAATGGAATTATTACTACTACCAGTCATTTTGCGTTATAGATCAATATTAAAGTATTATATTAATTTAAATTAAATAAATGTCAGTACCATTGCAAAGTCAATATAAAATCAAGGTTGCCTTTGGTTTTGGTTTTAAATCGATGCATTTGTTCATAAGTGGTTCTTGTACTGAAGAAAAGGGAATTTTAGTTTGTAATTCTTTTAAAAATGTCCAATTCCTTTTATTTTATTATTCTCTTTAGTTTGTGTATCATCGTTGAGTTCATGTTGATAATACTGTCTTAAACTTTGCATAATATTTAAAGTTCTGTGGTTTAAGGCATCGTGGGATAAAATTTCTCTTTAATCCCATATAGTTTGTTACAAGATTACAATTGTCATCAAACACTCCTCGGTAATTTATAAATTGTAAAAAAGATGCAAGCATTATTTTCGGATAGTCTTCAAGCCAAAGTATATGGGAGTCACTGAGTGCAAAATCTGTAAAAACAAAAAAACCACAAGAAATGATTAAGTTCAGAGATCTTTCACGAAGTTTGAGTATTTATTTATGATTTCGAACATTTCTTGAGATCTATAGTGACATTTTTACGAAATAACCAGAATTTTGAACAACAAGTCTGCTCTCTGATTAGGGTTTAGCTGGACAAACATATTGTACTTAATCATTTGTTGTTTATATGAACTTGTCCAGAAGAGATAACAAAAAATGTTTCCAAGCTTTCATCAAGTTAAAATATTCAATAAATAAGGAACGTAAAACAAGCAAATAAATCCAAACAAATAGCTAGCCTGGAAGCCCATTTGTGCAGAATCCCTATCATAGTTCACTATTTTCTTAAAAGAACACTATAAACACTACAGATCAGTGTAGTAGTTATGGTGCCAGCAGTTGTTGAATGCTTTGGCAGCTCACCTGGGTGCCCTGGACAGCCATACTGCATCTGGTCGGCTCCTGCGGGAGGAGTCAGATGTCTAAGCTAAGCACTGGTGGTCCAGGATCACGCTCATTATATGAGAGCTCTCAACTGACACTCTCAACCAATGAGCAGAGTAGGAGAATACAAAGGGTGGCTGAGGCCTTGGGCACCTGGTAGAACTCAGGTAAGTCATCACACTATTCTAAAACTGTTTGATGGACTTTACAGTGACAGCGCCAGGGCAATGTTGGCACCATTACTACTACAGAAGGCTGTTAAGGACTCTAAAGTGACCCAGGCCACCTCAGCTCAATGTGATCTTCCTGACAGCCACTAGAGGTGCTTCCTCTGCACAAACCAAGTAATACTTTCACATGACACAGAAGTCCATTGGAAAATACTGAATACAATGCTTTTCTATGAGGAAGCTTAATGCACATATGTCGATCAGCACTCATGGGCATTAGGTCCTCTGTGCTTCTCTAACTGGAGCATTGGGAGGACCATCGCTGGAGGAGGCCATGGCTCCTCAATGGCTTTGTGAGAAGCAGAAGAGATCAGCTTGGGGAAAAAAACTGTTAATCCTTGTATTTTAATTATTTTTATGGTCTGTATTTATAATGCCATTGTGTTCCTTTAACTAACACAGGTATCAATTGAACAAAACATGTAACCATACCTATAATCTTTTGATAGTTCTTAGCGGTTTGAAGATCGAGCAGTAGTGTAAGGTTTGTTATTGACCCTTTCTGGTTGTGTTAGTTAGCTAAGCACTCCACGCTTTGGAAGCCCTACAGACACTAATCTGCTGTATATTTATGTACAAATGTAATAATTGACCAAGACAGCACTGCCTTAACGTCCTAGAACTGATAAAGTTTAGAAATAGCTATGAGATGCTAATGTAAAAAAAAAAAAAAAAAAACCTATAATAACAGGCAGGTATGATAACTTTCCCCTAGTTCCATTTTCCATAGAAATGTCCGAGAAGATTCTAAGGATGAAACATTTTAGCTTTTTTCACAGAACCTTCCCGGAGAAGAAATAATTTACCTTATTTTTCAATAATTCTGATGTTTGTCATTACATAACACTTCTGCTTGTTTCAGACAGATAAAAGCAATATGTTCCATTTAAAGCAGCACTGTCATGCCAAACTTACCTTTCCCCAATCGCTTCCTCTTCTCTGCCTCTCTCAGGATCTGTTCTTCATTTCTTTCTGTCTGCTCTAGTTTTCTTTAAAACTTAAGACAAAGTAGAGACTACTTTGTCTTATGAAGGTTTCCTATGCCTGACTATATATGACCAGCGAGAAGCAAAGTGTGCTCTGTTTCCTGTGGTCAGAAAAATTTCCCCACAATTCTCACCTTTCCTCCGTGTTCTCGCAATGCCTCCTTTCCGTATTCCTGAACCCTGGAAAAACCACCGAAATTTGTCCTAACAAAATGAGAGCAGTTCGTCCATTCATGTTAGTACTGAGTCATTTTCCACAGTGTGGGAAAGTTCTTTGGAATTTTCCCATGCTGTGTAATTTGACTCATAACTCTGATTGGTTGCTTTCTTTTTTGAAAGCAACCAGAGTGTGAAGATTTAAATTACACAGCATGGGAAAATTCCAAAGAACTTTCCCACGTTGTGTAAAATTACAGAGCACTCTGGTTGGATTCCAAGCCAACCAATCAGAGTGCTGTGACAAGTAAATGTAGAGACTTACCTGTCAGTCTCTTCATTTACCTGTCAGAGAACTCTGGTTGGTTTTTAAACCAACCAATGAGTGTGCGCTGAGCATAATTGCAGGGCGTGGGAAGGCTCGCGGGTGAAGATGGATTATTTTTTTAGCGTCGGGAATTTTTTCTTTTTAGTCTGATTTATTATTTTTTTTGCTCTGTTTTTTTATTTTATAAATTTGACAGGTACTATGGTTTTTTATTCAGCCTTTTCTAGTTTATGGTCTGATTTATGGTCTCCCTCCTCACTAATTTTAGGGTGAGGGGGTTGGTAGTGCTTAAATTCTTTGGGGGGTGGGGGTGTGACTAGGGGCTTGGAGACCCCTAGACCCCTAATCGAAATGGACCTTTGGGGGGTATTTTCACATTTAGCCACCATGGGTGGGGGCCAGATGGGAGAACAATAGGTCCCCCCTATTTTCATTTAGGGCCCCCACTCGCCGCTCAGGGGTGAGGGCCAGGGGGAGGACAATAGGTCCCCCCTATTTTCATTTAGGGCCCCCTCCTGCCACCCCGGTTAAAAAGAAAACTGGATTTGGCCATGACAGTGCCGCTTTAAGGCAGATATAACTCTGTGTCTGCTTTCACTTGCAGGACAGAGATGTCAGATATTTCTCATGGCCTTTCTAACTCAAAATCTTTGTATTCCTAACACTATAGAGTTCCTTTCACGCTCGTGAGAAAATTCACCTTTCTAAAGTCACTGTCTGCTAAATGCTACCACTTCCTAACCTCAACAAAGCTAAAAGCTATAGCTCACCATAACAGGTTAAAGTGCTAATCATTGTAGCAAACTCTTCTATCTTTATGTAGCATAGAGAGGACTAAACGTGACACTCCACATTATTATTATTATTATTATTATTATTTTATTATTTATATAGCGCCAACAAATTCCGCTGCACTTTACAGTGGGTGGACGAACAGACATGTTTGTAAACTATATTTCCCATGATTCCTAGGTAGCTATAATGGAAAATAGAGCACACACATTTGGGAGTGAAAAAGTTAGGCAATCTCTGTCGTACACAGTAAAGGGGTATAAATAGGGCCTTGGGTCAAAAGCAACATATGCCAATCCTCATATTGCTGTCCTGTTACATTGAAACGATCAGTATACTATCCCTGCTGTCACTGCAAAATGTTACTTGTTATAAGGTTACTTAGCCTGAATTATAGGAAACGTGTTGGCTGCAATATGCAGCTTAATCTGTTACCATGTACTAGCCATTGAGACATGCGTGTCTAGTTTATCGGCTGCATACTCAATTGTACTGTTGACTGCTATAACCTTGCTCAATAAACAGCTTTTTGAACCCAAGATATGCCAATCCTTATGAAAAGAAAGAGGTGTTTAAGGTGCGAATTTCTAAGGGCCACTAGCTTGAGCGTGGCCATTTAGGGTTGCATACAATACATTTTTAAAGGGACACGGTAGGCACCCAGACAATGTCCCAGGTCCCTTCTGAGAAACTGCAATAATTACCTCTGATGGTTAACTCATCTATGGGCTGTCTACCAGACAGCCACTAGAGGGACTTCCGGAATCGAAACGGACCTTTGGTTATCTGACGCTGGACGTCCTCACTTTCTGCGTGGGGACCTCCAGCATCAGATTTTTTTCCATAGGAAAGCATTGGCGCGAGGGAGGGTGGCACTGCAGGAGCCTATAGTGCAAGGAAAATGGGTTTGTTTTCCTGGCTATATAGAATCCCTTCAAAGAGAAGGCAAATAAATTGCACTTTGATGATGGTTTACTAAACTGTCCGTGTTTTTCACTAAATTATGAGTTGTTGGGAATTTTAAGTGAATTCATGAGGATATTTGAAATTTTAGATAGCAGAACTGAACACATAGCTGACTTGAAAACGTTAATAACTCGACCATTTGACTTAAAATTTGATATTCACTTTAAATTCACCTTGGGTTCTTAAAACTCACACTTTAGTGATTCGTCCAGAGTAGGCATGTATAGTTAATGTACGGGTTAAACTAAAATGCAGCAATTCTTAACAAGCTCACCTTAATAAATACATGTCCTACATTTAAATATATGAAGTAGAACATCTTTGAAATGTTTTTCAAAGTTCTGAGAGCAAATGATGTAGGTCGCTGATTAGGCCGGCATTCGTGTAGGTAAACTATCCACATTTAAAATTATATTTACTGGTATTTAACATATATTTTTATAATGCACTACTATTTATTTTAATACACTCTGAATTTTACCCAAAATTTGCAAATCCTGTAAACAAACATGAACAAGCACAGTACACACAAACTGATGAACGGAATGTTGTGGTAACCAATCAGAGAGTAACACAGTCTATATCAGCTCTATCTTGGCAACGTTCCTTCTCTTTCTTTGCAGTTGAATCACAAACAAATATTCATGCTACTCATAACAAAATATTGACTGTATTATAATTATTTTCTAATGGCTTACTGTTTTTACAGGATTTTTGCAAAGAAAAATGTCAACTGTTTTATAATGTTTAAAGGATTTTGATAGGACAAAGTCAAAAACATGAACCAAAAAAAAATTACCTATTATATTTTCCTCTATTTCAATAGGATTTTGAGATTTTTCTACAGCTCTACACTATAAAAAAAAAAAACAGTGCTTCTTGTTACCCAGCCTTGGTCTCCACGTCTTTCAGAGATACTAACAGACTGTCCTCTTGTGTTCCCATTGGGTAATCGTAATTAAATTATCTAACTTTGGTTTTGGCAGAAGTTTTAAGGTTGACTTATGTGGTTTTACCTATGACCCAGATGTCAGATACTAGATTTAATTTCAGGTCTCTGTCGAAATTATAAAAAGAGAAAAACGAACAGCACTTCCAATAACGAGAAGATCCGGGTGCTAAACTGGACCAGGGGCCAACACCAGCTTGAAATAGACCCTTTCAGGGTCAAAATGTTGCGGTGTCTCACTTGCCCCAATAAACACATTTGAAGATACTTTGAGTGCCTGGATCCTCTTTCTACTACTGATATTTGTTGGAATTATAAAGATGTTGGTAGAAAAAACAGGATTTGGTTCTGCTCATATTCTATTCATTAGCCAATAAATGCACGTGGTCTGTGTGTCTGAAGTTATATTGAATAAATCCACTGACAAAACTATATTCTTTAGTCTGTGAACAAATGGGAGGAAATTCGGTAACAAGCTACCATTTACCTAAGGAACATTAACGAGATGTAACTAGATGTAGCATGTCAAATTATATTCTATTAGGTATTAACATATCGCTACATTTCTGGTCCATTCTACTTACCTACTATGGCAACTAATTATTTGGGGGCAGGAGCAAGTTAGAGTACATTCTAAAACAGCTAACGAGTCTTCTGATATTACAAAATAGTTAGTTTTTTTCATTTTATTTTAGAACTGATTATTGTTTATTGTTTATATGAATATTATACATTAGTTAGTATCTCTCATGCCTTGATACAGAAATATCTAGCTTTAAACATGCATAATATGAGCCTCCTGTCAGAAATAAAATTCTAACTTTTTTCTAGCATAGTAATAGGAAGGAGATATTTTATTATAAGCTGTCCGTGGCTTTGCATCTTTTCCTAAGTTGTTGTATACAGCAAACACAGACTTGAAGGAATCCATGTTTAAAATGGAATGAGGCAAAAATGTGATTCTTTGTTAAACAAATTTGCATATGCCCACCCAGAATCCTTTGCAGTAGTAACATCACTGCAGATTTGTGATTTCTGTGGGAAAAGCAAGTCTTATGGCTTGACTGGTGTGCAGATTATTGTTTAACATTGTATTAACTATATATATACATTATTTTTATTTATATATATATTTATATATATATATATATATACATATATATATATATGTATTAACACAGCATGGGTATTAAATCATACAGAGGTTTGTTTACTAAAAAGTAGATTGATTAAAAATATTTAACAAAAAATAGCTGAATTGGACAATTGTTGTCACAGTTGTGCTATTTTAGCCTGCAATTTTCCAATTCAGTTTTGAATTGGCTGCTCAATGAATAAACCCCACATGGACTAACTGACTGCACTGTCACTTTAAATAGAAAAGATGGTTCAGCTAATATTATTCACACCTTATACCGCATTGAAAATATCATTCAGCAACTGTTATTCACACTTTATTGCCCAAGCAAGCTGTTTACGAGAACAAAGAAGTTTATTTCTGTTTGTTCATCATTGCAACCTCTGAATCTCCCACAGATTTCTATTACACTCAGCAAAATTTAGCAGAGAAACATAAAACCCATAAAAAAATGTTTTTACCTATGTAAAGGTGCAAATATTTGCAGAAATGAATTGGGGTGGTTCTACTTTGTGGTTTCCTTTACTTTCTGGCAATTTCAGATTTTTAATATTTCTTTCTTTCCCTTTTCTGACTTCAAAAGATTCTAATATGAATATTGAACTTACTAGCAGAGCATTGTCCTAATGTTAAAAAATACACAGACGGGGATTGGAGCACCCACAAAAGGACAGTATCAATCTTTCAAGGCTACTAAAAATTACCTGTGAAAAACAGGGATTTGGTCACACATTATGGTAAACCCAACTCTTTTAAGGTATTGGTGCTTTGCATTAGGCAGAACTGTGTCAGCCATTTTCCTTGTGATAAAGGCTGTATAGAGAAGTATTTGTCAAGCTGCAGAAAAATATTGGGGAGCAGATACTTCACAGATAAATTAAAGTTTGTGATCAGTTTTCTGCACAGTCTGGTTACGGGTACTGGAAAGATGCCCGTAAGATTTGGAGACAAAAGGTGATGGTAAAACAAGGAGGTTCAGGTAGATCTCCAAAAAAAGATGGTCAAATTAATACATCAACAAGCCACCACAGAATAAAAAAAATTAAAAAAAAGATTATATACTGTAAATGTGTCTTGCCCCACTAAAAGCCACATAGCTCTCAACATTTGGAGTTTTTTTTAAATGATACTAGTAAATAGCAGGGCTGGAGAGGGCATGTCAGTAGCACATTGAGCAACAGGGATGAATGTGGGAGACAGCTTAATGTCAAAAAGGGACATGTCGGCCTAGCACGGCCTTTCACATGGATTTTTATTTGGTGTCCCCAGAACAAGCACAGAACAACCGGGCAGGATCCCAAAACCTGGACTATCTCATTGAATCCAGAACCCTTGCGGGGTTATGGAACATTATGGCTGTGTAAGATAAGCAACCAACACACAGACATAATGTTTTTCATAATGCTATTTCTGTTTCTATATTCTTATATTGCCAGCTTGCTGTCTCTTAATATTGTTTATTATATGAGGTATGGTCAAGGATAGACACTACCTTTAAAAACAAGGGTGGTATCACTGGGAGTATGTGAATACTGTCCCCTCCCTCCTTGTGCCTAGGGATTAATAACACCCTATGTATTGTGCTTCCAGCTGCTCTCTCCAGCTTACTTCAATATATAGTTATTGTAATATTATAATTACGGTACTCAGTAAATAGTTAGTCTTAATGCCATACCTACTGTCACAGAGAGAGGGGCTTTCTACGAGCTAACCTTATTAACAGTTCTAAAATGGAGTGCTTAAGAACTGTGGAGCCATGACCTTGTTTATGCCCGTCTTTTTTATTTTTTTGCCTTAATGGAGCTCCTAATTACTTTCACAAAACCCTCGTTCTAGTCCTTGTTTATATTGCTGTACTGCATCTGTATGACAATTGCTTATTACTGTGCTACAATTGTATGAGTGTGACAATGGCCTGGTTTATATTTTGTACTGAACAACATTATAAATAAAGCATTAAAAACAATTTTTTATTTTTTTTTAAAGTTCACCTATATCAAAAATTCCTCTGATCTTTACTTTGGTATTTTTTGAGAAAATACATAATACAGCCAACAGGATGTATAATACAGTGAGCAAACGTATTCTGGTCACACAACTGTTTATACATTGTTTATACAGTGTAATGTGTTAAAATGGGTGTCTTCATCTATAAATACATTATGTCCATTGACAAATACAGAGTATTCGAACGTCTCACTGTTTCCAAACATAATTCAGTGTTTTCGATTAATTTTCCGGTAGTAAAATGTTTCTTTGTTCTAATTATTTGGTTTGATGTACTCAGGAAATTCCAACCACTAACATAGAATAAAAAATACCTACGCAAGTGGGAGTCAGTGTGAAGGGAAACTTCATAGCGAAGTGGTTGTGTGAAAGATTCTGCACGTTGGGTTGATTATCTGGGGCGTAATCAGTGTGATATTGACCGCTAACACAATTCTTATAGTTATTCTTCGGGTCGAGAATCCCCTGCAATTACAGAACACAAATTATATTGTACAAGAAAACACTTGTCAGTAATACTTATACAAGACGTGCCAAATATCACTTACTAATTACTAATATTACTAATTACTAATATTATTAGCGTTTCTATAGCACAAATATATTACACAGAGCTTAATCATTTTACAGTGCAGGATATAAACAGCTAATGAGAGATAAACATTTGCGTTCTTGATTAGTGAAAGTCAGCCGAATGCCCGCTGGTCAATTAATAATTATATTACCCATGGTTCAAAATATAAAATCTTTTAATGGAGATTGTAGTATCTCAAATGAACCAATTTATAAAGCATAACTAAAATTGCCAAACAGGAAAAAAATCTTGAACTCGTGAACTCTTAATTTGAGATATTTTTTCTATTTCTAACTTGGCAGGTTTTGTATGTGTTTAGAAAAGAGACAATTAAAATAAAAAATAAAAAAGTTTGTGTGAAGAATTTAGCAAATATCTTCAACATTATGTCTTCATCCAGATTATTGTTATACTAAAGCAAGGTTTGTATATTAGAACAAACGTTGACATATGTTAACTTTAAAATCTGATTAGTTCTATGAGAAATACTATATTATTGTGGGCATGTCATTTGACTAATAGGGAATTTTAACAGCTCTCCATTTGCCGAAAAAGTTTTTCTGGTTTCGTCTGTTGAGCAGAGCGTGCACCTGAGCCCAACTGCATCTAGACTTTGCAGCTAAATATAAAACTTTTCACATGCATAATAAACATATACTGCCAAGCAGGGCAGCCATCAGAAATGTTGTGGCCCCTGACACAGCTCAAGGCCGAGTCCGTTCACAGGGCCGCCCCCCGAGTCCGTCCACAGGGATGCTGTGTGTGTACTGATTGTGCTGTGTGTATAGTGGATGTAGAATGTGTGTAGTGGAAGCAGAGTGTGTTTGTAAAGCGAATGCAGAGTGTGTGTGTTTGTGTAGTAGATGCAGTGTTTGTGTGTATTAGATGCGGTGTGTATAGTGAATGCAGTGTGTGTGTTTGTTTAGTAGATGCAGTGTTTGTGTGTATTAGATGTGGTGTGTATAGTGAATGCAGAGAGTGTGTTTGTGTAGTGGATGTAGTACATGTGTAGTGAATGCACAGTGTGTCTTTGTGTAGTGCATGTAGTGTGTGTAGTGAACGCAGAGTGTGTGTTTGTGTAATGTATGTAGTGTGTGTAGTGAACGCAGAGTGTGTGTTTGTGTAGTGTATGTAGTGTGTGTAGTGAATGCAGAGTGTGTGTTGAGTAGTAGATGTAGTGTATGTAGTGAATGGAAAGTGTGTGTTTGTGTAAGGATGTAGTGTGTGTGTAGTGACTCTAGAGTGTGTTTTTTTGTAGTGGTTGTAGTGTGTTGAGTGACTGCAGAGTGTGATTGTGTAAATGTAGTAGTATTGTGTATAGTGTATGTAAATGTAGTAGTATAGTGTATAGTGTGTGTAAATGATAGTGTATAGTGTGTGTAAATGTAGTAGTATAGTGTATCGTGTGTGTAAATGTATGGGTTTGCATAATGTGGGGGGAAAGCCTACAGTATTCAGGTTTTTTTCTTCTTCCATTAATTGTAATAAATGTTATTTTATTCCCCCCTCCCTGCATCTTAGGGGTGGAGATCACATTGCCTGGGGGTCCGGTGGCATGGTGTGGGTCCCCCGCTATCTGTACTCTACAGGGGGCCCAGCACACTCAAAATATACTTCCAAGCTGCTCTGCCTAAGTCTGGCGAGCCACGTGGAGCATTGCCATGGTAGCCCGTGGCAACGCTTTGAAGATCATGGGGGGGACCAAAGATGCACATAAGTATAGCGTTTTATATATATATATGCACATGGGTAATGTGGGGCCCAGGATTCCCTGACCTACCAGGACCGCTGGGACCATTACAACCATCTTGGTTGTCAAGCCCTGATGGCGGCCCTTCTGCCAAGTATATAAAATCAGGACGGTCCTGCCAGGGATATATGGCATTAGTAAGGATATACAAGGATGACAGTTTGTGATTTATTTTCTTAACAGTGAATTGAATGCTGAATTGTAACATTTACACTGAAATAATCAGGCAGGCATTTTTTCCACATGAATCTCCAGTCTTTGTTTAAGCTGAATCACACCAGAAGTATGATTTGTTATTTTTTTTAATTTTTTTTTTAAAGTAAATGTTTCTAAAAAACAACAACCCAGTAATGCTTCCCTGACCGATCAGGATCCAGATTTCGGAGTTAAGAAGAGTCATCTTGCTATACTCATATTACTCCCACCTCTTTAATTCAGTCTATCTTTCCTCTTCTCCCCTGTTCGTAATCTCGTTGCTCCTCCTGTTTTGTATCTCTCTTTTCACATGATAATTTGTAATGATAATTAATGATTCATGATGCCTGCACGTGCTTTTATTCGTTCCTGAAAATAACACTAACAAATGGTGGGCGTTGCTAAAAACAACCTAGTCCGATCATGGTCTTCACTTATAGGAGAAGACTTGTTTTTTTTTAACTCTGTCTATTTAATCTACTGCTTAACCCATTCAAAAGATTAATCACACAAATTAGTATTGCTTAGAGCCAGCAGAAAAGTGTCACGTTCTCTGCCGTACAAAGTATGCAAAGCAACAGATTCTACAACTATACATATATTAAACATATATGAAATAGTTCTGCAAAGGTTTGGAGGGATGCTTGTGAACAAGCTGCATACCCCTCTATTAGCTGGTTACCATGGTGATATTAAATTAAATACCTTGCTGTGATGAAATAGACAGTAGGGATTTATCCAGTCTACACAGGATTAAAAACTCTGTAGCATAGAGGTATCTATCACAAGGTAGAAAGTCCAACTTCAATGTTGCTTTGCTACCATTATCACTAGCAAACCATCAGGCAAGCTGATGTGCCACAATATCTGGGTGTTGGACTTTTAATCACCCCGCCATGTTTTTAAATCAAATTCCAGATTCTAAGCTAGACATTTAATAATTATGTTAATTTAAAGACATCGAAAAACTTGGAGAATTGTCTGGAAGCCCCTTTCATACAGCAATTCATTTAAAATTTTACGCAGAAAATTCACCCAATCTAAACAGAAAATTCAGTTACGATTATATAGCTTTACTATCCCTACATTACAACTATTTGTGTTTTTATTTTGCAGCCAAATGTGAATTTCAGGCAGAGAAGATGGAAGTAAATTTCTACACAGGGATTTCTACACTGAGTTTTAGTTTTCAGACCTTACCAACACATTTGTTAAAAATATAACAGTAAAAAAAAAATAAGTAAAACTTCGTATAAACGTCCTGGTGTGTGACAGCTGTCCTTTTAAGAAGGACACGGTGAAAACAGAAGTTGGTATTACATAAAAATAACTGTGTTCAGATGACATTGGCCAATAAAGTGATAACAATGTTCTCAATATGTTGTGTTCTTGTGTGTTAGCATATTCAGAAATGGTTCCTTTTCCTTTGAGCAACAAATATAAAACTGGTTTCTATAAGAAGAAAAACTACCACAACAAGAGGACATAGTCTTAAATTAGAGGGACAAAGGTTTAAAAATAATATCAGGAAGTATTACTTTACTGAGAGGGTAGTGGATGCATGGAATAGCCTTCCAGCTGAAGTGGTAGAGGTTAACACAGTAAAGGAGTTTAAGCATGCATGGGATAGGCATAAGGCTATCCTAACTATAAGATAAGGCTAGGGACTAATGAAAGTTTTTAGAAAATTGGGCAGACTAGATGGGCCAAATGGTTCTTATCTGCCGTCACATTCTATGTTTCTATGTTTCTATGGTTACCATGTTAAGAGATTTTACTTTATTTGTGCTGCAATAGCTGCGTGTGAGATTTAGCAGAACTGAGCGTTTATTATTGTGCTTGTTGGGAGCGAACACTAATTCTATTTTATTATAACCCGCAAACCCACCTTAATAAACTTAAATACATTATATAATTCATTCTGCCGCTTTGTACTAGAATGTAATTACTTTACCCACCACTGTGACATGTTAAAAGAGCTAAACTGGCTGTCGCTGGAATCCCGACGCACTCTTCATCTTTTCAGCCTTGTGTTTAAGAGCTTTTCTGGGAAGCTCCCCCGCTACCTGAGTAGAATGCTCTCCCCGGCTGTTCCCACCTCCTATAACCTCCGATCCAGTACTACCACGATATTTGGCATACCACAATACAAAAATAAAGTGGCTTGAGCCTCATTTTCCTACAGAGCACCGCAATTATGGAATAACCTCAGGGACACAGTCAAATCTTCATTCAATCTAAAATCTTTTAAGAGATCTATGGCAATATACCTCAGCACAGAATGCACCTGTCATGGTTGAATATATTTATTACCTGCTATGTATTAAATTTATATATGTGTGTGTGTATATATATATATATATATATTGTTTGTACATTGTATTTTTGTAATATTGTATCCTATTGTAACAATACAATGTTTTGTGGACAAACACGCAGGACATTCTTGAAAACGAGAGAAATCTCAATGTATCCATCCTGGTAAAATGTTTTATAAATAAATAAATACGTTTGCATTAGACTCGTTATGAGAAGTGACAGGAAGTGAATTTTCAAATCTTAGGCCACAATCGCAGAAATTTAAAAATTCCCAGAGTGAGCTATGTTTTCAATTCAGTGAATCTAACCTAAAATTTGACTGACAAATAAGGATAAAAAAATAAAGGAACACTTATTACATTATTTGTATATTTAACAAAATTATATATTTTCTGCCTCACAAATGTTTCAGAACATACCAAACCCAAGTAGCGAAGTATGCCCTTTTAAATGACAAATGCTTTATACAGTAAGTTGGGTTTCATGCCATGCCAACATGAATCTTTTTGCATTTTACTTTTTAAAATTTTTGAGGCAGAAGTCGTACATATATATATGTCTTTCAATAAATAGGCTTTTTGAATATTTACTTCTTTGCTATAAACAGTATTTTTTTTAAGTTTTGTTTATTTTTTTTAATAAATGTTCCTCTTAAGAATGTTATGTGTAAAAAAAAAATCTCTTGGGAATGTCACTATACTTTGTCACTTTTTATGTTACTAGGACGGTATTGAAAGGTTGTAACGACTTATATGTATTAATGTTACCAGTAACATGATTTTTAACAATGCACAAGTAGGTATATATATGGAGGGGTGTAAGGAAAGTCTTTACATGCCTTTGAAGAAGCTCTGAGAGGTGGGGCGAAACGCGTTTGAGTCCACGTGACACACCAGGGGAGTACACAGAAGCAGGAGATCATTCGACACGATGGTTGACAGACAAGTGAACTCTGAGCACATTCAGAGGAATATCAGAGCTAACATAGACTGTGCATTTGCTTGAGGGCAATGTAAACGTCTGAGTTTCGACTGTTTTTTTGAACCGAAAATTGAAATAAAAGTTGCAACATGTAACTTGGGCTGGTAGTGAGTCCTTCCACACAATACAGATTTGGACCTGGTGCCCTCAAGAGGCTGATCCTCCCTGAGTGGGGTAGTTTGAGTGGTACTCTAGCCACCCTACTTTTGTGTGTGCTATAATAATTTTAGCTTGATACTATTTATATATTTTACAGTTTAGCACTATGTTGGTTTTTTTTGTGTCTTTTGATATTTATAGGTTCTCATGATCAAGATATATAAGCAAGTACATAGCAAAATATTTAAGCAAAGTATATATACACATATTACACTTATTAATATTCTGTTTGGCGCACCATTGTTACTTTAAGTTTTGCACACCATGCAAAATATCCTTGAAACGTGCAACCATCATTTTTTGCACACACTATATACACATCTCTCAGTGACAAAGAGAACAGATGCCCTCCAAAGACTTATGCCCGATAGCAAAAACATGTGAAAGCTGATTAAATCCCAACACAATTTATTTTGCTGCAGTGAGCAAAGATCATGGAATTTGGATGCAAAGTCATGGATAAAAATGTCTATGGATTTTTCACAAGATAGCTGGCTTGAGAATCCACGCATCTTAAAATAGCATGAAGAAAACTAATTCTGTGCTTTCTACAACAGACCTTTAAATCTAGTATATGTATTGTACCCTACAGAGTGATACTGAAGCATATTTGAAGATGTTGGACAGCTGTGGGAGAGAAAATGTAGTTGGAGATATAACAGCTGTCACCTTTCATAACCCTCAGATATTTTGTTTTTGAGGCCACGGAGATTGATATATACCAAAAAAAATGAAAGCTATTCGCCAGTGTTTGCTTGTCTAATCCCCATATACCACCGAAAGAATCTCATAGAAGAATAATTCGATATAAAGTAACAAACACTAAAGCATAATCACAATGTGTGACTTCCATTTACAATAGAGATTTTTTAAAATAAATTTTAAAAATGGGTAAATGAAAGATACAAAAAAAATTACTGGACGACCACAAAAAAATATTTTGTGTGGGTTTTCTATGGCCACTGGAGAGAAGACTTGAAAACACATTGTGAGTATGAGCGCATCACTGATTATACTTGTGGCAGTGCAAGATCATTTTAAGAGAGGCTTGATTGGCAATCAACCAGGATGGTTTGGTCACTTTTCCTGTCTGTTCTGAGTGAACTGTGGCCCCAAGAAAACAAGAGGCCACGTGTTACCCGCAAGTCCCCTACTGTTGCTCATCACTCACAGGTTTTGTATGTGAACTTGGAAATTGTGTAACTATGTACCTTGGATTAATATACAGCTTTGTTATATTATATATTTTTTTCTTGTTGTTTTTTTTAACTACATACTTTGGTTTCAATCTGGTTGCAAGGTTGCCCTGCCAACCAATGTATGTGATCATGTGACCAACCCAGAGGAATAATAATCATGTGACCGAAGCCAAGCTCTTGGTCACGTGACCATGAGTTAGGCTTCCAGGTTAAATGTTTTATTTTATTGATGTTATAATAAAAGTATATGTTTTTACAGCAGCAGAACCTCCTTCAGGTTTGTTTGTCTTGCTGGGTAGAGGCCAAACATGGTTGGGAAGAGTCAGTTTGGGATGGAGGATGCACTCAGTAGACATTTATAATCTCCATTTTCTTTTCAGAGAACAGAAACTATGCCTGTAAAATCTGTAAATCATCTACCGCATTTGTTTGAGGGTGAAGATAAGTCTGTTGAGTTGCAGAAAAGCCAAACAAGTTTTCAATATTGGGGTAAATAAATAGCGCAATAAAGGTGGGGTGCACTACACAGGGAATCCGCTAAGAATAGAAGAGAACCTTTTAACAATAACTGTTACCAACAATTTCCATCACAATCACACAGACTTTGAGGGGTGTTACAGCAAATTTCACCCCTTGAGAAAATCTTAAAAGGATGCCTATATCTGTTTTGCCTGACACAAATATGCCACATTCCATTTAATGAACTTATTTATTTAGTATTAATATTTCAAGTACAATTGTCTCTCTGACAACTTGCCGTGAATACATTTATCTAACCACCTATCTGGCAGTGCAACAGTCATAACCACAGAGATTTAGAAAGCAGGCCATGCCACATCACTTGGGTCATTTCTGAGAAGTGAAGATGATCAGTGAGACTTTGCTTTGAAAACTTTCTACAGCACATTTGCATCCTTCGCAATGTTCATCGCTATGTTGTTACTTTCGATTATGTCCACATACTAATAAAAAGTATTTACTGTGGTTGCCTAATGACATAATTTAATAGAACTCTGAAAGTTTTAATCATTAACAAGCGCTGACAGCTGGCGGGAAAGTTCAGATCGAAGAATAAATAAATAAATAAGAATTAAAATCCACAACAGAAAATCTCCATCATAATTTTTATAACTTCTTTAAAAACATGGTAAACATTCTTGAGAATCTCATAGTTTTGTTTTGTTTTTTTGGCTTTTTCAAACGGTGAAGACAGTGGAACTCTGGAAAACCTCTTGCTTAGAATATCATCATAACATAGTCTGTACCAAGCGTACATGAACTGAATTATGGAGAAACATCTACCTATTTTCCAGCCATCTTACTTTAAACATCACAGTCTCAAATACGGGGTTATGTTCTGCAGTACCACTTTTGGACTCTGTTGGTAGCAGCGCTCTGTGCGTGGGAGCCCTGAGTTAGAGTGGTCAGAGAGAAGGCTAGTCAGACTGGAATGGAGTCCACCAACTTAATACCCTTTGTTGGGGAGACCACCCCTTATGGTCTCATCAGTGAAATGAAAGACATCACCGACACGCTCCCTACCGCTTCGTTCACCGTCGTCTCAATTTCTTACCTCATTTCTGCCTGTCTATTTAGAGCTGACAATCTATTCTTCTCAGATTCCCTGTCTATATCTATTAATATTTATGTCGGAAATAAATTAAAAATCAGATTGTATTTAAAGTCACTGACACCTGTAAGGCAGCTTTTTACTCCCCCCACTTCGCTGGTATGTGTGTTTGTGTGGTGGCTTCCGGGAAGATTGGAAGGAAGATACACATTACTGAAACTCTCCTTCCTCAGTTCTACCATATTCCAGTTTTGGACCATCTTTCATAAAGAAAGTCAACAGGAGCCACATCATTGGTGTTCTCTCCTGCATGTGCAAGACTGCAAAACAAGGTGTTGGGATTGATCTTCTTGTGCATTCACATAGGCATGAAGACCTCATGCAACGAGAAGATACCTGTTCCCATCACCATTTATAACGAAACAGCAAGATGCAGAAAAGAAGCCGCTTAAAGCTCTGCCTTTCGCCACATTTTGCCAAAATCCGGCCCATCCACAAGACAAAGTATTCCTTACTGTATCCTATGTGTCCTGATTGCAGTCAATTTGAGTGATATTTCTCCGTAATCCAAATTAGATTCTCATAATAACTGGAATAGCATTGAAGCAATATAAGTGAGACATTGTTTAATGCCCCAATTTGCATTTTGGAGAAAACTGACGCACCAGAACAAGGGCGTATTGTAAAGAAATACAATATAAATCATATATTTTGTAGCAATTTCAAAAATACGAAGTACAGATTATTTTGCATAGCTACAGAATGCCATAATGTTATTATTTGAGATAAGAGGCAAATCCTAAAATATCATAAACAGTTGTGTAACCTTAAGATTAATATACTTCGTTTTTTGCCGTACAAAATCCGCATGCACTGCTAACAGCCCAACTTTTATTACATCACCAGTGAACTAAAATTTGTGAAGTGTTGAAATCCCGAACCTTCGATGTTGCCAGAGAATATTACAAACGTTCTTTTTCAATGTGAAAATAAAGCCTTATATGACTAAGTAGCACATATTCAGCACAGATATAGAGATAATCAGAAATGAATCATGTGTGATCACTGATTCTATCATGTTATCAGTACAATTCTGAAGGCATTGTCATGGCGATATCATCATCAGCACTCTAATGTCATAATATATAATCAATCAATGGATAACGGGTTACAGATAAAGATCCTCGAGACCCTCGATGGAAATAAATAAATTATTCTGAGATTGATTGCTTAAAGGGATAGAAAAGGACAGTAAATAAAAAGTGGGGAGAAGAAGATGCCTGATGAGAAACTGATAGAATGATCTGAAGGATAAGATTTGAACCAGGAAAGCACAATGCCACAGATTCTAAAGGTACGAAACGTTTGTATCAGAAGGTGGTGGCCAAATTTATCAAAGACTGCAGAAAGACCCAGTAAGATGAGGGAGAACAGTGGTATTTAGTTTTGGTTGTACCAATGTCGTTTTACTTTGGTTTTGCATGTATTTGAAGATAAAATTATAGATTTAATAGATTGTAAGCTTCTATGCCTAGTACAACGCAAGGCGTTGAACAGATGACACAGGGTCTCTTCTCCTTTTATATCACTGTGTCTGATTATAGATCAATCTTTCTGTACAATAGCTAACATTCTTTTTGCATAAATTGTAAAGGGCTCTGGTAAGAACGCTGCATAAGAACTGACAAATAAATAAAAATATAATTGAAAACATATGGGATAATGTGAAAGGCGCAGAGACAGTATGCAGGGCACTGGAACAAGAAATTGGTCAATTTGACAATATTGAGAGAGAGTAAAGTCGAGATTAATGGGAGATCAGTAAGGTGCTGGATAATTTCTTGGGGAATTCTAGAAAATGGTATATTCAGGAGAAACATGTTTTGGTGAGGACTGTAGCATAGATTAGGAGCAGAATAAACAGCAACAAATTTTATTTTTATTTTAATTAAATTTTCTGAACATTATTCTGTGATTTTTTTTTTTTTTTTAGGCTTTTCCTGTGCATAAATAATAATCTGTAAAAATATTTTTTTTTTTTAGAAGTGATCAAACTACACAAACAAACAAACAGAAACAGGATGTTGGGGGTCGTTTTTAGCCAACAATGAAAGCTGATGAAGTGTCTACGGAAAGTGCTGGGGTATATTAAAGGAGAACTGATACTTTACTTTCATTCTCTCTCTTTTTATTTCTCCACTTTTTTTGTAACGTTAATATATAGAGCATATCTCCCTCTAAAAATGTAACCCAGTCAATTACAGTTTAGAGGAACACTCCACTGCCCAAATACAAAAATTAAATTTAAAAATTACTATTTATACTGTATGTACTAAAACACTTACAAATCTCTTCTCTGTAGCCTTTGCAAGCCCTCCCCTTCTAACCTGCCCAGACATTCTGTGGCTTTGCAATGCAGCTCAATGACAAGTCTTTGCAAGGCAGGTGCTCTGGGCAATTGCTGCCTCTTGAGTTTAGCAGCATTGAGCTAACCAAACCAGGAAGTAACAGAGCCAGTTGTCTGATTGACAGCCAGGTGGTTGTAACAGAGCCACATTATAAATGTTCTAATTTCTATTAAAATCTGTACTTTTTGTAAAATTTAAAAAAGAAGACACACTCTCCACACATAAAGCACTTCAACAAGTTAAAGTTCTTTAGGGGTTTGCAGTGTCCCTTTAAGGTATCACAAACCTTAACCACGTAGCAAAGAGAACTCGTGGCTCACTGGCAGGGGTTTCCCAGTAATATCCCAAAGTAAACAGCTCTAAACATGTACTATATTTGGTAATCTTAGTTCTGCTTAGTTCCTCTCTTATCTTACTCCTAAAAAAGCAATTACAACAATATCTCATAGTAAGGAAGTTACTCTGCAGCTCAACTCAGCAAAGAATTAGACGTAAGCCGGATCTTATTACTTATGTATGATTTCATTTATTTTTTTATATAAAACCGCTTCTTCCTCAATATTAACTATCATTGTAATTTACGTAGTTCAGCTTTACATTTCCAGGATTGTTCATTAAAATGGGAAATCAAAGGGAATTTTTACCCAGACTAGCTGCATTAAAAACTAAGTTGACCAGGGCCTGACCTGCATGGCGGCTGGACGCGTTCTGCAGGAGCTCCACGCTAAGCTACTGACTTGCATATGCTTTATGCCCCTTGCGGCGCTAATCTCTTGGCTAATTGTGACTTGCTGACACCCTGCAACAACAGGTTTCCTGTGGGGCTACTAAAATCTGGCCTACCTCACACAATTCACGGAGGACGCGGTGCGGCCTAGTGCGGCTGGCGGATGAGGGAGGCGGACACTTTCCCGCCCTGCCGGGCGCTGGACTACCGCCAAATCCGACTGCTGCCCCGTTTCCCCCCCTCTTTGGACCGGTGGGCGTCCTAATCCAAGAGACCCACTCGCATACCTTGCAAACTCCGGAACCCTCTGGTAACGGCGGACACCACGTGCGCTACAGCTCCCAGCCAAGACACTGACGAGTCCCTCACTAGGCTGGATCACCTCTTCGCAAGGTTCTGAAGCATACTGAGCGAGCGGATACATTCATCTGCACACCATGTGCCGACAAGCGGTTCCAATAGGAGTCCGCCACCCAGTGCCATGAGGAAGAGAGCGACGGCGATCCCTGCAAGAGCCAGGATTAAACGGAGGAAGAAGCTCCACCAGCCACATGGCAAGAAAGCACCCAAACTAGCCTCAGGCCTGGGCCCAAAGGCTCTACACCCGGGACTATGCGCAACAAAAGGCAATCAACCACAGCTTACAGTACCTCAAGGCTTAACCACTCTCTTCACCGCAACAATGCCGCAGCAACTCCTCAGGGAAAGCAGTGGACTGTGTCTCAGACTTCAGTGGGGGTACAAACTGCCCTTGATGGGAATAGGCTGAGAAGGACTATCTCCGCGTTCACTCTACATCACGGCAAGATGACCAGCTGCAACGGCTCACTATGTTTATTTGGCTCATTCTGGTTTTGTTTCCCACCTTTAATCAATATGCCTCAATGATTATGTATACATCTTTTCATATGCTCCGTTTTAGACCGCCACCAGCCATCCACAGTTTGCCCGCAAGTCTAAACTCTTATATACCGGACTGCGATGTTATGTTTGATATATAGAAGTGCTTTCTAAGAAATCCAGCCCAGCATTACTGCATAGGTACTCAGGAAGGGTCAGTCTGTTTAGCTATAAGCTTCATACCTATTATAACTCACAGTAAACCACTGTTTGCCTCTTTGTTGTTTCTGCAGCATGACAAAGCACAGTCTAACCTACTAAGTTCTTAGCAAATTCAAAATAGCTTACTCATGCAATAGTTAACTCCTGATTATTAACCCTTTAAAAAAAATGTGCAAGTTCTATCAACTATCCTATATGTGTTTACATGCTTTGTAAGTTCTACTGTTACAATATGCACAGCAAAAATAAAGACTTTTTTTTTTTTTTTTTTAAACAAGTTGACCTGTAGAATTTTTCTAAAACTTTTTTTTAATTAACTCTGAATGCACTTTCAATTCCTGAGAATTTATAACTGTAGGAAATTCCGGGTCACTGGTGCTAATCAATGGTAAGATGTCTGAAAATTGCTGGTACTCTATATATTTATAATTATATAGAAAAATGATGCACTACCTTATGATTACATAGTATATATCATGTGCTGAGCAGCCTAGGTCATATATTTTGACTAGTAACATTTTCTAATTTTTATAGATAATTTTGTACATAGAAGTATCAAAAACTAAATAAATATAAGCAACAACTTAGCACTTCTTATTGGAATACATTCGACACATCGACAGTTCGACACAGCGACACAGGACAAATAGCCTTAGTGTAATGTATCAATTTCATATTTTTAGCAAGTTTACTACCTTGCACGTTGCAACATCAAACTCATCTGTATACTGTAAAACGTTTGTGCGGTTTGGTTTAGAGACCAATTAATATATCACATCCCCAGGCAGTATGTCAAATTACTGTACAGGGATACTAAGCACCAACACAACTTTAGCTTAATGAGTCAGTTTTGTTGTATAGACCAAGCTCCTGCCATTTAGTAGTTAAATAACTTTGTTTAAACACATTCCCTGGCCGAGACTCACACAGCCTCCATACTCATTCTGGAAAAATGTAGTCTAATTTTTAAACAACCCTTATTGCACAGTATGTTTAATTGCCTGCTCCTTTAACTGTTTGCAAAAGACTGCTATGTGTGTAATTAAAGTTCGATTAACAAAGCGGGAGATCATTTTTAAAGTAAACACACTGTGCTGTACGAATTGATTGAAAATTAAACCTTTTTTTCATGGAGGCTGACTGAGTCACAGCCAGGGGAAGTAAGGCTGGGGCTTTATAAACAAAATTAATTTATGCCTAAACAGCATAAAATTGGTCAGTGAGAGCAGTATGTGAACTATTTGTATGTACTATGAGATTTTTGTGATTTTTTTTATTTTGTAGGTTACTTCCATTTTTCCTTTATAGGAGCATGTATATATGCACTTTTAACTGTTTTGATGCCCCCTGTTATTTACACCATCCACAAAGTTGAATGGATAGTGAAGAAATTAAATGTAGCCATACCAAATCAGAGGCTGATGAGGGGAGGTTAGGGCACCAGGGATCCCTGTTTTTATTTTCAATTTTTTTTGGTCAAACGTCTAAAACTCATGGTGACAAAAAAAATTTAAGGACTGTATCCACGGCGTAAAAGCACCATAACCAACTGTGGTGGTTATGGTACTTAGATTGTCCCTTTAACTAATCAGTTGGCCAGTTGAGTTACTGTGTCCAATGTACAAAAGGAGAAAGTATAAGGCATACCGCTTAATATAGGTTTATTTAAAATTATATGTGAAATTATAACTACAAGAAACTTACCAACTGTATCTAACCTCGAGGATTTAATATTATATAAGAGATTCCATTATTTATCTCCATTCCTGGCCATTACAACAATACCAACATTCAATATGGGTATGATAAGAGCCAACTTATTTCACATTTAACACGGATAATTGAACAGATTTGGATTAGCCGAGCCAACCTTTTTTTTTTTTACAATTTTACATTTATGTTGTTTATAATGGTTAGTGTGATAATAGACTCTATGAATGGAAGGAGTGAGAGAAAAAACAAAAAAAAATTTTTAGCTTTTATTAACAGTTTTGGAAAACACAGACTATTGCTTCGTGCTGCCTCCTATTGTGGAAAGTCCTGGAAAAATAAAACACATGTGGAGTAAAATCCCATAATGGACATCTAAATAAAGGATGCTGTCTATGTAAATATTTTGTCTATAAACAAGATATATTTTCCCTACCACAGACTAATCAACGCTCTGCACTGCGCGGGTATTAAAATATATAAACGGGCGTAGGAGTAAGAGTTAGGAGTTATTCACTAAATAAAGAATTGCTATGAGCTGAACTGTAATATTTAGAATAAAAGAGCCAGTTTTGAAAAATCACCTGATTTAGACATTATCCAACTAGGGTATTAAGGCTAAATTTGGCTTTTTCGGGTTTTTTTTGTTTATATTTGGTAGATTCTTGTGTTGGATTTTGTCTGATGCAATTTGCCTTGCAGCACTACCTTCCCAGAGAAAATTAGGAAAGTGTCAGTCAATGGTACACTTATCAGATATGGAGAAAGTTGTGGAAGTACTTGAAATGCTACAAGTAACTTTGGAAAACTAAGTGCCTTATAGTGATTGGCTCTACCAAAGAGGATAGTTGAATAAGGCAGTTTTGGTTGACTGGTGCTGTTCCATAGTTGTGCAGTCAATGCCCTCTTGATTCCCTCTACCAGAAGGCACCCTTCCACAAAACTAAATTAGTGATATATTAGGATGTTGTTAGTTAAAACACTACAGTTTGCATATCCAAAATATTTCTTAAATCCAAATCAGAGTGAGATTGGGCAATAAGAAGCTACTTTTGTTGAGTTTTTACCAGGTTTTGGTAGATAATCCTAATTTAAGGATTCAAGAGAAAGGTCCACCAGATGCCTTGTGAGTCTAGAAGGTTTAGAGTTCTAAAGCATTGTTTCAGACCAGAAAGATGTCTCTAGGTCTGGGGTCCTGAGTTGATTTGACCAGTGAACTTTGTATTCAATAACACATATTATCCCCACCAATAATTAGTAGCTCAATTTCAAAGAAAATCTAGTAATTTGTTTTGAATAAGTTTATTGGTGCATAAGAAAAGCAGTCATCCCACGCAGGGGAGACAAATGAGCATAGTAAACTTTTCGACATAGGCATATGCCACAGAGTGCATTTTATATCGAATGAGAACAGTCAAAGCCTAGTAAGGCAGAAAGGTTAGATTATGTGAACACAAGTAACATAACTAAGGTTAAACAAAGTCATATTGCATATCCGTTCCAACATTGGCGAGAAGAGATCATTCTCGGCATCTTATTTTTCAGTCAGCTTATGTTAGCGCTACAATGTTTAGCGAAATCTGAACCGAGGTATTTGCACTGTTGTCTACGCTGAATTATAACGGGTCCAGTTAAATAATGTTTTATGCCTATTCTCAACTTTATTTGGTTAAACAATACGCAGCAACCCATTAGTGAGTCCCCATATGCTGGCAGGGTGGGATTAAACTATGGTATAACACAAGGGCCCGTCATTAGGAAATCAGAGAAAGGGTTAGTATTTCACTCTGAGATGTTAACATGACATTCAAGGATTAGGTAATGGGGGATTAGGGGCTAATTTGGTTGCTGTATAACTTCCTCTCCCTACGTTTAACAGGGTAGTATGTTGTAAGTCTTTAATTCGTGCCCTCAGGTAAGAGGTAATCGATGTCCCACAAGATAGGACCCACAAAATCTGTACGTGCGTGATTACAAACACATCTAGAAAATAAACAATGAACGGTTAAACTGTAAGCAGGTTGTTCCGTAAAGAATGCTCATATAGGCACTGCTGCATGGGCAGTGTAAGCAAGACTAGAAAAATATATTAAACAGGCAGCATTATAGCATGAACATATCACTGATGCTTTTCAGTCCTCAAGGATCATCAAGCATAAGACAGGAGCATAACGTAGATAAGGACATGATGCTGCATAATGTACAGCTTTATATGGTGAATAAACAAAAAACAAAAACAAAAAAAAACATTTACTGCTGCATGTCATTAGCAGCGTGTATCAACTCAGTCCACAGGCATTGAAGGGCCACGGATACGACCCCCCCGAGCGGGGGGAACCGACTGCAGATGCCTTTGCGGCTGATCCCAGGGGCGCCAGGCCTCCGCGGCATCCCCCTAGGCCGCGCCAAGCCTCCATCCGGGAGATCTGCAGCACAGCGGGCACTCGGGGACCCATCAGTCCACAGGACCCACCGCCTAAAGTCCGTGTGCCAGTCAGTAATCCCCTGCACCCCCACTGCACCACTGGGGCCCCAGATGGTCAGGGTGAAGGCCGTCCTGTGTCTCACCCTTCTCCGGCCACTCGGGGCGGGCGCCAGCCTCCCCACAGCCACCGGTCCGCCGGGGGCCGCCGCGTTCCGCTCCACGAGGGCTCACAGCGTCGGGGACAGTTGCCTGCAGGTCCTCCTCAAACCCACAGGTGACGGCACTTCGGTCTTCGCAGGGCATAGTCCAAGGGTCGCGGCATCCGGCCAGTGGGCCCCAAGGACACCGCAGCAGCATCCCGCCTGGCTCCCCCACCCACGTGCATCGCCTCCGGGGCCCCACTTCATCCGTGGGTGTTGTATCACCAGGACAGCTTCTGATGGCAAGGCAGGACTGTTGTAGGCCGTTAAGTTCAGGGTGCGCGTTAATCCTGTAGCGCAGGCAATAATCGTCCCTGTCTTTCGAGTGTAGATATCTGGCGGGCCGCAGTTTGGCAGCCAGTGCCTGTGCAGGAGGTCAGCGAGCACCCCGGGTGGTTGCGTCCACCCCAGGGCGTGCAGCCTCCATGTAGCCGGGATTACCCCCTCCGGCCGGGGGGGGGGGCGGGGCCGCCGCTCTCACCCGTGGAGATCTCCCCCAGTGTCCGCATAGCTGGTGTGTTTGTATCTCGGGCCTTGCAATCAGGCGTCTGTTCTCTATCTGCAGCTGTCCTCATGCAGGCTTATGCAGGTGTGTAGGCCGGGTTCATCCGTCTCGGTGTTCCCCGTGAATTTTTGGCCGTAGTCTGGTATCATATGGGTGCTTGGGTAGTACCCCATTGTAATGCAGCATGTAATCCGGCTCTGGGGTAAGTTGTGAGCAAGTTTTATGCCGTTGTTTAGGGCTGAAGCTCGGAGCCACGGTGTTTTGCTGCCATGCTGCTTGGCGGCCCGGCCCCGCCCCCGAAAATCTAGTAATTTGTACTAAAATGCAGAATTAGAAGTATTTAGCTAATGTACGTTTACCATACTATAAGAGTTGCCATCAGTTATAACCTTTAACAAGATATAGCATCCATCTGGATTAATGGTCTTCAAATGTGAGCCTTTGAATTGAAAGAGGCTGCGATGTGAATTCATGGGGTCTTCACTGTTGTATGTGAGTCTTTAGTCCAATATATTTTTTTATGGGTGTATTTGCACCCATGACATTCTAGGAATAGAATGTTAATCGCTTGAAGATGTGAACTGTGGATGGCTCAGAAGTAGGTTTAAGCCAGCAAGGAGCATCCATCCCATTTTAGAGATGGATGGAAAGTCCCAAATAAATAGTAGAAAATATAAAATCAGAGTCTGGTAATTCAAAGGCTCAGAATACGTACAAACAACACAGGACATTAAAAATAAACATTAAACGTTTATTCGGCATCTTGAGATGGGTGTGTTGAAGAAGGAAGAATTTAAGAAGAGTACCAATCTAAGGATGGAGCTCAGTTGAGTAAATCATTGGCTCCTGAGAGTCCTAGGTTTTTCTGAAATATTAAGGTGTAAATGAGGTAGACCAAAGTACATTTTATTTATTTAACAATCTAAACTCCCATCTACATTGGGTAACGTAAAAAAAATTATTCAGGTGAATCCACATTGAAATGTCATTTTACTTGAGAGGAGGGAGTTGTTGTATACTGTCAGAATGAGCACTTTATCCTGAAAATGTAGAAACTGCTCTATAATTGGTCCTGGTTTGGCTTATTCTTTTGCTCATTCACAGCTTAATATGGGTGGGCCTGTTTCCACTAGAAAATTAGGATGTTGACGTAATGAGTAAGTCCAGTGCTATTGGAAGCCAAGATGATTAGGTAAATCGATACATATAGCCTCACTGAAACTAAAACTAAACAGCTTAATTTTCTGCATACGTGTCTGCCCCTTTTCACCGATTTCAAACTTTTTTATTTAATTCCAGTGTGCCCCAAAAAGTGAAAGTAGGCCGGTTATTCTCAGAACAGTGTTTTCCCAAAATGGGGTGAATTAGCGGTTGTAACAATTATGGCCTCAATTTAATATTATTGGAAAAACTTTTAAAATGATTTAAGATTTTTGAGTTTTAGTAAAGAAGGTGTAGAGTAAATACTTGGAGGGTCACTAAAGAGCAACCAAAAGAAGAAAAAGACATAAAGCCAACACATTTCAGATAATCAAATCTCCCAGTTACAGGTGCTATGGCCAGCCCGGGGACAGGAATACACAGCAGCTGTGCCGATAAATGAAGAACCCGAGGTAAGAACAAGAGAGGTTAAGGCATGAATCTCTAAGTTCTACTTATTTATTCCAGACAGTAAACACACACAAAACAAAACCAAAAAATAGAATATGGGAACTGAGTTTGTAAAATGCCACAGGGCATTCATAAAATAAAGAAAAGTGCAGCTAGCATTAGCTAAATAAAAACAGGATTGCTAAAACAGTGTGGAGTTTGAAATACTCTGTCCTGAATACAGAAGGGTTTAAATCCTCGGGCAATTAAACCTGGGGAGGCATCTATGAAAGCGGGGTCCAGGACAAAGGGTGCAATTTAAAGGGGTCCCATCTGTTTGGATTATAAACCAGAGCTTCAGTCTTTAATCTTCTTTAATGTTTCCCTCCGCCCACTTCTTTTTACTTTTTACATATTTAAAATACAGTTAATTCTATTCTAAGCCAGTATCAAGCCAGAGATATAATAATTATGATTTAGCTGATAAATATACCCATGTGAACCATTTTTTGATAGATCACAGCCTAATGACTGTTCTTACAAGAATAATTCACTCTACGGGAGGAAGCACCTGCGACAGAATCCTAGCAGCGGCCTCGTGATGCACGTCTTGGCAAACGCAGTCTTTCTGTTCTAAATATTTCACTGAAAATGTGACCAAGATTCAGCTATGTCTGTGTTTAGAACAGTCATTTTAGTGGTATGAGACAATGTTTATGATTTAATTTCTTATAAACAAAACATCACAAAAGCAAATAAATTTTTTTCTCACTAATCGGCTATAGAGGTACATTCACATCAAAATATCTGAAGTCCATATAGGCCCCTTCAGACTTGGAGCCTAGTCATAGCTGCTCCTAAATGCTCCATCAGACTTGGAGCCTAGTCATAGCTGCTCCTACGGGCTCCTTCAGACTTGGAGCCTAGTCATAGCTGCTACTACATGCTCCTTCAGACTTGGAGCCTTCTCATAGTTGCTCCTACAGGATCCTTCAAACTTGAAGCCTAGTCGTAGCTGCTCCTACAGGCTCCATCAGACTTGGAGCATAGTCATAGCTGCTCCTACAGGCTTCCTCAGACTTGGAGCCTAGTCATAGCTGCTCCTACAGGCTTCCTCAGACTTGGAGCCTAGTCATAGCTGCTCCTACATGCTCCTTCAGACTTGGAGCCTAGTCATAGCTGCTACTACATGCTCCTTCAGACTTGGAGCCTTCTCATAGCTGCTCCTACAGGTTCCTTCAGACTTGGAGCCTAGTCATAGCTGCTCCTACATGCTTCTTCAGACTTGGAGCCTAATCATAGCTGCTACAACATGCTCCTTCAGACTTGGAGCCTACTCATAGCTGCTCCTACAGGTTCCTTCAGACTTGGAGCCTAGTCATACCTGCTCCTACATGCTCCTTCAGACTTGGAGCCTATTCATTGCTGCTCCTACAGGCTCCTTCAGACTTGGAGCCTAGTCACAGCTGCTCCTACATGCTCTTTCGGACTTGGCGCCTTGTCATAGCTGCTCCTACAGGCCCCTTCAGACTTGGAGCTTAGCCATTGCTGCTCCTACAGGCCCCTTCAGAATTGGAGCCTAGCCATAGCTGCTCCTACAGGCTTCTTCATACTTGAAGCCTAGTCATTGCTAATAATACAATGTTTGAGGCCTAGTTGCAGCTAGACCTTCAAATTCCTTGAGGCCTATTCACATCTACATCTCCAAGATGCTTGGGACTTAGGCCTGGCCATGGTTGCACTTTCAAACTCCTTAGGACTTACCTTATCCTTGCAAAAGTTGCTTTGGGTTTTAAGACTAGGCATGGCTAAACCTTCATGATTCGTGAGAAATAGCACATGCACATGGCTGCATTTGTAGGCTCCTATGACACCATCCTCCACAAACTCTATTCTCAAGTCACTTGTGACAGATCGCCAGTAAAACTCATCGTTATGAAATTATATAAGGCATTCTATGTTCCATAACTTAGTTATCCACACATCATGATTAGTAACATTTACAAAATACAAACATATTTTGCAGCACTGATTCATGAGACATCTGTTTGAAAATGGATTCTGTCATTTGAAAGAACATAATTATGTATTATTTAAACTTTGGCTTTTACAGAAATTGCCTATTATACCATGCACCATGTTTATCACCGGATACTCTGCTTCAACGTAATGACGGAAAGATTATGAAATAGACTCTATGATCAGACGTTTCATATTGTGCCCAAACCTGTTGTTCAGAAGTGCTTTCTGTACTGTAAGCTTCCTGTCTGAAATACGATGTTATCTACAAGAAACAGCTTCACGTTTTTATGTTTCTGCTCTACATATCAGCACCACACACGATCCTTCAGCTGCACTTGCTTTCTCAAATGGGCACTCGAAGTACCATAACCATTATGGCTAATTGCAGTGGTTATGGTGCTGTCAGTCTATGGACATTATCGTTTGTTTGTTTGTATTTGTCAAACCATTTTAGATCAGTTGGATAGAAAAAATGTACACTAAGCACTCTCAGCCTGTCATTGCCCCCCAGGTTTGATCTCACTTGGCAACGTGGACATTCTACACTTTGGGTGCAGCTTAGCTCTACATCCAGGGGAGATAGTGCATAAAATAACCCAGGGATGCCCAGTGGTAGCTCCCAACCTGTAGTAGAACTGCAACTCTTGTAATGCTTGACCAGGTGTAGGTCTGCCACAGCTGGAGCTATATCTACCTTTTAGATACCCCTGCATTAACATACTGGTGGAGTGGGCCTATATTTGAAAGGCTATTTTAATCACACTCCTTGCGGCTGTGTTACATCACAAACATCCACATGCGCCGACAACTACTTTCTAAGCAGCAGTGGTGTGAGTCAGAGGCCACATGGTTCCACCCATTCACCCTCAGAGAACATTACACAATTCATGTACTTCTCACACAATGTAACTAGGATTCAGTGTTTTCTTTGATACTATAGATAACCTATAAAGCAGTTAATAAATCATTTGTGGACTCTATCAAATTAGATTACAAGCGAATTTACTGCAAGACATATCACACACCGAAAATTGAATGGCAAAATTTAGGCAAAAAAAATGCTCTTTCAAAAAAAATTATCCAACTCTGCTTTTGCCACATCTTGTCTATTTAACCCCTTAAGGACGCATGACATGTGTGACATGTCATGATTCCCTTTTATTCCAGAAGTTTGGTCCTTAAGGGGTTAAGCATTGATTTTGCAATTCAGTTTTGAATTTTATTTTTAGATTAAATAAACACCATTATTACGGAGCTATGTTCCATCGCTTTGTCACAGAGCGAATGAGGATTAGGGGGGTCCCCTGCTGAATCTCCACGTTCTAAAGACATGGGATAACACCAATAAATTCAAAGCTGTTATATAACCTAAAATATATATGTTTGTAAATTATTAAGGTTCAAAGATTGGTAGAGGAGGTAATAGAGATGGATAGTACAGGGTGAGGGTGAAAAGATTAAAGGGTCACTATAATCACCAAAGAACTTAATGGAGCAGTTTTGGTGTATAGATCATGCCTCTGAAGTTTCACTGCTCAATTTTCTGCCATTAAGAAGTTAAATCACTTTGTTTCAGTTTATGCAGCCCTAGCCACACCAACCCTGGCTGTGCTTGACATATCCTGTATAAAAACAACATGGTTTCATTTTCAATCAGATGTTAACCTACTTTAAAAGTTTGTATCTCCTACTCTGTAAATTGAACTTAAATTGAACTTTAACTACATACTTTAACTGCAAAGTCTAGCAAGCTATTAACAGAGCAGGAGATAAGAAAATCTAAATTAAACAGCGTTTGCAATAAAGGAAGTGTAAACATTAGATTACTCTTTACAGGAAGTATTTAGGAAGGCTGTGCAAGTCACATGCAGGGACGTGTGACTAGGGCTGCATAAACAAAGTGATGTAACTACTAACAGAAAATTAAGCAGTAAGACTGCAGGAGCATGATCTATAGACCAAAACTGCTTCATTAAGCTATAGTTGATTTGGTGACTATAGTATCCCTTTAAATCTAGCCATGGGAATAAGGTAAGGAGACCAATAAAGCTGGCATAAGGGGGTAGAAATAAGCCCATGAATATAAGAGGGTGATGTCCAGTGCTTGGAACCAACTTCAATCACACTCTAACCCACATCTCCCTTGATGTTTTGCCAGCATTGCGGCTGTAAGAGCATTATGGTTGATGTAGTCCAAAAACATCTTAAGTGCCTATCTCTGCTCTAACTGCACAACTCCTGAAACAACACACATTCTACGCCCATGCATATCATATAATTATTATAGTGAATTTGGCATTTTCTTAAAACTGAGATTTTATCACAGCGTGCTTGGCAAAACCAGGACTGGATTTACATCTTAATTGCCCGCAGACATATAATTAGCAGGCATCCCTACCTCCTGCACAAATCTAGTTCTCTGTTGCCTCACAAGAGAATCCAGAATTCTACCATTTGATCCTTTACTCCAGAAAATAGAAACAAAAAGCAATTACCGTGCAGCAATATGAAATGTGTGTATATATATAAATCTTAAAGGTGAAAAATGGTTGTGTTTAGCTCAGATGCCTCTTCTAGTCACATGGCTGGAGGCAGCTGCCTACTCTGCCTTTTGTCAAATCCAGAAAAAAAATGGGAATTGGGGGCACACCCAGAAAACGCATTTCCAAGCAGTGGTGCTGCCGTAAAGACCAAAACACATACAAAATACATCTTTACATTTAACAAGGCACACAGAAACAAAAATACATCTTTACATTTAACAAGGCTAATTAAAATCACCTATCCTAGTAAATAAATATGGGGATTCGGTTCCACCATATGGCCATATTGTGTTAAGCCCACCATTACGTCACAGTAGCACAAATCCAGCTCTGGGATGAGCACACAACTCCTAATCGGACTATATTACGGATAACACGATTTAGATCTCACCCCAGAGGCAACCTAAATAAGGTTTCAGGCAAGTCATTTAATATCTCTGCCTACATTAAGACGTTGGCTCTGAGAGGCTTGGAAGCATGGGGTGGGCTCAATATTTCATAAGTTAACCTACAGATATGGCTGCCAAGCAACAGGTGAACAAAATACATTGTAGAAAACTTATATAAAGCACTTGTTTCTTTAACTCTATATTACGATATAACACAGTGCATTCAATACTCAGAAAAAAAACTTCCCTCGGAATTTCCCGCTAAGCAGCAACACTAGACGTCAACTTTAATTCATGTCTGTTCTTTATCCCTGAATTTCTTTTTGAACACCATGACAAGTTATTGAGTGCGGTATTTTCACGCCTAAGAAAACGATTTCTCATAGTTTAGAGATTTTCATACCAAGTTCTGCAAGATTGGACAACTGATACTATTAATAATTAAGTCTTGAAACCCGCTTAGTAATATATATATATATATATATATATATATATATATATATAAATATATATATGCCAGCAAGGATTTTATCGGGGCACTCAAGGTAAATGTACTAATCATGTACAGCCATTGGTGATCTCAAGACCAAACCTTTCTCAGGGTTGCTTGCTAAGGATTTTGATCACCCAATATATTAATGGTACACCATGTTTCCATAGCGACCGTGTACATTAAAAGATCAGCATAATATTTAAATTATTAAAACATTGTTTACATCCAGAAAGAGACAGACCTGATTCATTAACTCATTTATTACACCCAGAAAGAGACAGACCAAAACCATTAACTCATGCTGTATATCCAGAGAGAGAGACAGATCCAAAATCATTAACTCATTCATTACACCAGAAAAAGACAGACCCAAAACCATTAACTCATTCTGTACACCCAGAAAGAGACGGATCTGGTCAATTAACTCATCCTGTACACCCAGAAAGAGACGGATCTGGTCAATTAACTCATTCTGTACACCCAGAAAGAGACAGTTCTGGTCAATTAACTCATTCTGTACACCCAGAAAGAGACAGACTTCATTCACTAACTCATTCAGTACACATTGAAAGATAAAGTCTTGATCAATTTACTCATTTAGTGGCTTAGGTGATGAAATACATTGTAATGCTTTCTGTACCTAAACCACATGCCTAAACTGGCAAAATCCTCACATGTTACAGAGCACATGGCTGAACTCAGATACAGCTATATGATAAACCACATATGTGTGTGAAACACAAAAATAAAATTAAAAAGACAGAAATTATAAATAGTTAGTTCTATATCACCAAAGATGATGAAGTTAAAAGAATGTGTAGAAAAGACCTGCGGTTCATTCATTTATGGCTAACTTTGGCAATGCAGTTGTTTGTGGACTACAATTCTCATGCTGCTCAGCCAGCCCAAAGCATCAACGAATAATTGTATTTCACCAACATCTTCTGTGTAATTTTAGACATCCCTCGGTTAGTCTTTGGCAAAGTATCTTACCCCACAATCGCTTTCAGATAACCAGCAAAAATCAGCATATCTTAAATAACCTACCTTTTTCTTTGACTCTGAGACCTTCTATTGAACAGTTCAGTTCCAAGGAGGCAATTTTGACTCAGGTCCTGATAAACACCATTAAAACAAGCAGAGATTAGCACCAGAAACTATGAGAAACACCTTCTTACATTGAATCTACAGCTTCACTTAACAGACTCTAAAAGCTACTCCCCCACACTGAACATTTAGCATTTCCTATTTCCACTACAGTCTGATTTTTTTTTTTTTTTCTGAAAAACTTAAAGCAACAGAACTTTCTTCAAGGGGGAATTTGTCATTTTACTCTTCGCTCTAATCTAGAGTTTAGAAACATGCAAATAAACTATCTGAAGACCTTGGGTCCTTGAGTGTGTTAAATGAGAGGTGGGAGGGGGGGAGTTAACCCCTTCACTGCCAAGTTTTTTTTATTGTACAGTGTAACATTTTATTTGAAATAGACACAAACAGGGAAAGAAAAAAATATTCAGATTGCTTGTAAAAAATACTCAAAAATGGGATTCGTGAAGATTCACGCAATTTGAAATTTGTTTGTGTTTGTTCTTCCGTTATACACATATTAGAGGAGGGAGCGTAAAAAAAAAAAACGTTAGTAATTATAAAGTAGCTCTTGTCCTGCAACATTTCAGACTGAGTTGTAGCTAGAGATGTCGCGAACCGTCCGCGAACTTTCAACATGGATGCTGTCCAGGAAGTAGGAGGGTCTGGGAGGGAGGGTCTGCTGGAGATTGGCTGGGATGTGTCAGCTGACCGGAGTTCGCCGCGAACAGCTAGTGGCGAACCGTTCGCGAGAAGTTCGCGGACGGTTCGCGACATCTCTAGTTGTAGCTATCAGCATAAAAAGAAGAAATACATTTTGTTGCATACGTATCTGTGACAATAATAATCAGATGGTCACACACCCTGCCTATGGGCATATTAAGGAATGTAGCTTCATAAAAACTCCATCAGAATATCATTTCAAGGTATGCTAGCATTTCCTACTATACAGGGCAATAATCCCCCGTGCTAAAACGTTGCCATGTACAATGGAATGAGAAGAATAGGCCACCATTTACAGTTCCTCTGCAGAGAGACAGAGTGGAATGCAGAAAAGAAAACTGTATCGTTCAAGAGTGAAGCCATGGAAAAAGGGGAAGGGAAGTATGAATTCATGGGCTAAATTTTATTTTGTATTGATTATGATGTTCGCTTAAATAAGAACACCGTGAAGTGTACTCGCTAAACAATGAAATGTACTGAATTACAACGGAATTCCAATGTGTAAGCAAAAATAGGCAGGCTATTACTATAGCTATAACTATCCCCCTACATTTTGCAGTTTCATTTCCAATTCATTAGTGAAAAAAATAACCCCTAGTATTAATTCTCCAATGGTTCCTACAAACTTCATTAAAACACTGGCAAGGTAAACCATCATTAAAAAAAAATGTGATTAATGCTCAGTAACATGCCACAGGGTGTTTTTAATAGAGTCTCATATTTCACTTAAATTCTACTTGGATGTTAATTTAATATCTATATAATACACTATATGGACTTAGTAGGGATGTGGCAATCAGCAAGTTGAATTACTCAATCTAAAAACTTTTTAAAAAGATTAGCGTGAAATTGTCATGCCCTTGTTGCTGAAACAGACTCCACTTTTCTCTGTAGATGTTTTGCCAAGTGCTGGAACATCTTATCTCTGGTCCATTCAGCCTCAAATGTTGTTGAGGTCAAACAATGATGTTGGGCATTTAGGACCAGCTTTCACTCCAGCTCAGTAAGAGCTCTGCAGGAATAATAATTTATAACCATCTACCAACATCTGGAGTACCTAAGGTTGCCTACTCCTGATCTAGAACAGCTAGAAGTCCATAACCTGGCATTAAGGAGCTTATCTGAACCCATGGAACATGCCCCAGGAACAGACAATTGTACGTGTTTCACCATTTACCATTTCTGTTCTGTGAATTCATTTCACTAACTCAATTTTCGGAGTTGTTTCTCCTTGGAATTCCCACTTCCCAAAAACATCACTTTCAGTTGACCGTATACCGCTTTCACAGAGAACCTTGTCACATGACTTGTTGGAAGAAAGGGGTGCCCTTTACCGTGCCATGTTAAAAGTCACCGACCTTCGCCCAATAAGGCATTTCTCTTGCAGCCTGTGTAACAACTTTCAAGTATATAATTTACTTGGATGAATACTGGCGATGCGAACATATTTGAGATACTGTATTACTGAGATAAAGGACTATTCAGTGTTTTATTTTTGCCCAGTTTTTATATAATTTTCTAAGTGTACATATATTCAACAAATGCCCCTTTTCACTTTAAGGATGTCGTGTTAGACACAATAGCTTCACAAATCAAACACAGCTCTTCATTTGGGGTGTAGTCACTAAATACCCAACTGTAGTAAACTGAAACCAAATCGTGAAATTCGATTAAAAATATCCAGTTTGCAAAAGTTTTCCCAACTCTGCTACAATCATAACTTGGTTTCTATGGCCTAAATTTTGCAGTTTAATTTTCGAATAATTACAATTTACTGTTTCATAAATAAACCCCTTTGTTTTTAAGAAGGGTTAATTACAGGGGACCATTTTAAAAATTTTTTTTTTAGCAAAAACATAATACGTATTAGTATTCAACATTTTTGTATTCTCTGTTACATAAATAATAAAATAGTAAAAATAGTAATAATAAAAATAGTATTTCCAAACTAAAATAGTTGGTGAATAATTTTTTGTAATATTTGTTTGTCTGTGTGTGTGCGTATGTTTGGTTTTCCCCTGGCAGACTACATTTTAGTGATTTCATCTTAGAAGAGATGTGTTAGCTTATAGAAGTTCTAAAAAAAATAATCAGTGATTAGATGCCTTGATTGTAGTTCCCCAGTGTTGATCTCATATTAACCATTTGTGATCTAGAGCCATGAACAAAGTGGTGGGTCACTTTATGCTCTTAACCCAAGAAATATATTGAGTGATGTTAAGTGACGTTAGGCTGAGTGTAAACGTAAGGCAACAAACAAATAATTATATATGTTATTGGTTATTCTGGACCAGAACTATGTCAGCAAATGATTATTCATTAAAATTTGGGAGGAATTGGCAAAGGAATATTTAGAATTAATCTCAAAATAACCCAGCTGCATACATTTTCCCAATGTAGCCTTTTCGGCTAAATCTTTCTATTTCACAATAACTGATTTAATGAAAAACCCTGTTATACAGTCATTTTAAAATATTGCACATTGCTCCAGGGAATTTTATACTTTATCTCAAAATATGTAAAATGGACCAAAAATATCCCAAGCCGGCTATGTTTGCAGCTCACTACTTTGTCCTTCAAATTGTAATTCCGTGCGGAATCCCTGACAATTTACGGTTTAGTAAGTAACACAATGTTATTCGGAAAACTGTCTTTCCTAAGCTTTACAGGGTTAATCAGTAAACCAGGAACAGTCAGGAATTCACAGGGAAAAACTAGTTGAGCTGTAATTAAAGCAGATTTGGAGATATAATTATTTATTTTTAAAATCATATTTTTCTAAAAATAAAATTTACAATGCTGAATTCCTGACCCTTCATAGAAACATAGAATGTGACGGCAGGTAAGAACCACTCGGCCCATCTAGTCTGCCCAATTTTCTAAATACTTTCATTAGTCCCTGGCCTTATCTTACAGCTAGGATAGCCTTATGCCTATCCCATGCATGCTTAAACTCCTTCACTGTGTTAACCTCTACCACTACATCCGGAAGGCTATTCCATGCATCCACTACCCTCTCAGTACCGTATATACTCGAGTATAAGTCGAGTTTTTCAGCACATTTTTTGTGCTGAAAACCCCCTACTCGACTTATACTCGAGTCAATGTCTGTGTTATGGCAACTTACATTGCCATAATACAGACAAGGACCGCCGGGCTCATTACAAGCCCGGCGGTTCTGTTGGGGGCTGGCAGAGAGCTGTTACTTACCTTTCCTGCAGCTCCTGTCAGCTCCCTTCTCTCTCCTCCGGTCCGGTCAGCTCCCCTGCAAGTCTCACGAGAGACTCCGCGAGAGGCTCCGCGCGGCACTTACACCACGAGACTTACAGTGGAGCTGACGAGGGAGCTGACCGGACCGGAGGAGAGAGAAGGGAGCTGACAGGAGCTGCAGGAAAGGTAAGTTACAGCTCTCTGCCAGCCCCCCTCCTACACAGCCCATCCACTGGACCACCAGGGAATGAGAGCCCCCCTCAATGGCCAGCTAACAAGCAGGGAGGGGGGACGAATAAAAATAAATAAAAATTTAAATAATAATAAAATAATAATATTAAAAATAATAATAATAAAATTAAATAATAATATAACAAAAAAAATATTAAAATAATAATAATATTTAAAAAACAAAATGCCCACCCCCCACCAAGGCTCTGCATCACATACACAAACACACTCTGCATCACACACACACACTGCACTCATACACACACTGCATTCATACACAAACTGCACTCATGCACACACACACTGCATTCATACACACACACACTGCATTATATACACACTGCATTCATTATATACACACACTGTAAATAAATATTCAATTAATACAATTTTTTTGGGATATAATTTTATTTAGAAATTTACTAGTAGCTGCTGCATTTCCCACCCTAGTCTTACACTCGAGTCAATACGTTTTTCCAGTTTTTTTGGGTAAAATTAGGGGTCTCGACTTATATTCGGGTCGACTTATACTCGAGTACATACGGTAATACTTCCTGATATTATTTTTAAACCTTTGTCCCTCTAATTTAAGACTATGTCCTCTTGTTGTGGTAGTTTTTCTTCTTTTAAATATAGTCTCCTCCTTTACTGTGTTGATTCCCTTTATATATTTAAATGTTTCTATCATATCCCCTCTGTCTCGTCTTTCCTCCAAGCTATACATGTTAAGATCCTTTAACCTTTCCTGGTAAGTTTTATCCCGCAATCCATGAACCAGTTTAGTAGCCCTTCTCTGAACTCTCTCTAAAGTATCAATATCCTTCTGGAGATACGGTCTCCAGTACTGTGTACAATACTCCAAGTGAGGTCTCACCAGTGTTCTGTACAATGGCATGAGCACTTCACTCTTTTTACTGCTAATACCTCATAATTCACAGTTTACTGAATAGCTC